GGTGATTGAATTCTTCAACTATTTAACTTTTTATCCTTTTAGTAAGAGAGAGATGGATTTATTTTTTCGATTAGGAATTTATTGCCGACAAGGATGATTTCACACTTTTCTTCTCTTGATTCGTTCAAAGGGATGAAAGTTTCCTAATTGATCTATCTCGCAAGCATAAAGGTCTTTATGGCAGAGCTTCGCCAAAAGATAATGTTCCCAAATATCTATGTAAGACGATTACTAGGTTGCTTCCTCTTCCCTTAGACATCTATCTCACACCGAAATATCTTTTTGTGATAGTCCCATAAGTGGCAATCATCAAGTCCACTCATCATAGAACGTCTTCCAACATTTTAGTTGCACAGGTTTGTGCTTCTCAATACTATGTGTTTTCCTTTTTATCTTTTGTAGCAAACATGAACTTTAAAAGCTTTGCAGACTTTGAGTTCCAGTTGTTGTTCATGTTTAGTTGAGTTCCAATTGTTGTTCATGTTGTTCCGCCACACTGGATATGACCAAACCAGAACCAGTTACTATAATGGTGCCTACAAGCCCCTTAACCGATTTAAATATATATCACTGATGATGTATTTGGTAACATAAATATGTATTTTAAACAGATTGATGCATTGTACTTTTTTATAAGTTAGTGCATCCTTTTAAAACAATTATTTATTCATTTTATTCTGAGTAGAGTTATATGTGGATCAGCTTCTTATACAGTCAAATGAGAACATCGTGTTATTAGTCTTGGAAGTTTTTTTTTCAAAAGAAAAAAAAAACGAAGATGGAACTTATAAAGAAAAAGTTGAGAATACAAGGACAAAGACATTAAAGATAAGAAAGCAGAAGATGAAGATTATAAAGTATAAGAATGTGAAGATGTTTAATGTTATATATAATAAAGTTATGTCAATTAAACTTAACATCAGCAATTTATAGCAAATGTTTGTAGAGACTTTTAAAAAATTTTAATTTCAAAAGAATCAATTACAAATCTAAAGAGTAATGAAATTAAAAAATGAATAATTAAATTTAATTTTGTATGTAATTCTAGAGTATTATGCCTGCGCGCCGCAGACAATTCTGGTGGAGATACTGTTCAGAAAATAACTTTCACCATTATAGATCTCGAGTAAGCAATATTTTCTTTCATGATCACTATGACTTGGTAATAAAGTTTATAACTTTTATTGTTAAATCGAAGAGATTTGAAATTGAAATGTATCTCACACGGAGAATTTGCTGCTGACATCAAAGAAAGAAGCAAATAATTCACTGGTCCTCTTGTAGTTTGTGTTTTAACCAATTGGAGCGTAAAGAATATAAAAGGTATGGGTCATGAAGCATATGCCATTATTATCTTCATTAATTTCATAAATGTTTTATTTTGCATGTATAGTTCTTACTGATCGTTTTATGTATATAGATGAAATAACTATCCATGCTCATGATGCAATTGGTTTTTCCCGTCTCCTCTTTGCTCCTACTACTGATGATGTCCTGATTTTCAAGAGAAAATAAGTAATCCGACAATGATATTGAGAATATTTTATATATACAATAACCTTTAAATACATATGTGTCTCTTAAGCTTTCAGGATTCGAAACAAGTTTAACATGACGGAGACGCAAGTTGGAACAAGCACAAAAAAGGACCCCTGAACAAGATCGTTTGATTATGATAGAGTTTTAATTTTTATCTCTTTAAATTCCATGCAACAAGACTTAATATCATTGTATAAGCTACATTTCTTTTTTTTTCTCATGATAACGCTTTCTATCTTATGTTATGTTGAATCTTTCTATTTTATTGATATTTCTTTTATTATATTTTCCTTTGCATTTGGTTATCATTTAGTATAGTACTTCTTATATTACGTTATATATATCCACTAAAGTTATACAGTAGAGACATTTAATATAATAATTCTTATATTACGTTATATATATATATCTATTTATAAATGTAGATGATTGTTAAATAACGTTAATACGTGGGCTATATGAATCAATATAGAATAATAAATAATTTGTATTTGGTTATCGTTTAATATAGTATTTCTTATATTACATTATATATATCCACTAAAGTTATACAGTACAGACATTTAATATAGTACTTCTTATATTATGTTATATATATCTATTTATAAGTGTAGACGATTGGTAAATAACGTTAATACATGAGTTATATGAATCAATTTAGAATAATAAATAACTCAATAAATTTTCATAATTTATGGATATATAATATTTTAGTTCCAACTATTGAAAATGGAGATGTCACATATATATTAGAAAAACTTTTTAAATCTGGTAAAAAAATTACAAAATATGTTAAATAAAGAATTTGATATAATTAAATTATAACAAAATTTGTATAATAACTATGCCCGCACGCCGCGGACAGGTACCTAGTAATTAGTATATTAATTTAAAATATGAACAAAATTTAGATGATGAAATATATTTCAATTTGTACTCTTATTTTATTATCTTCTTAACAAAAAAAATAATATGCATACCAAATTGATCACTTTCGTATCAAAAAACAATATGCATACAAATATTAAAGAGATTACATTGGGTCATTCAAATTATTACTTTATGATCATATTTAATTTATTTTTTAATAGTTGTTTTATTATTAAACAAATATATATATATATATCTAAATTAGCTAATTAAATATTTGGATCGGATCAAAAAGATCCCCGTGTTTTACTTTGATCGGGTCAAAAATCCACATTTTATCCGTTTTATTATGTCGGATCAAAAAGATCCGCATGTTTTTAAATTGGACCGGATTAAAAGATCCACGAATTTATCCAATTTTAAATAGTAGAAGATAAATATAATTAATCTGGTTATTTTTCAAATTTTTCACTCTCATTAAACAAAAACCAATTTGAAGCAGTTTTGTCATGTCATATTTGACGTGAAATAAATATCATCATTAACATTACAGAGAAAGAAATTCTATCCAATTATGTCCAATCAACTTAAAACAAATCAGATTTATTCATCAATCTACATTCTCATTCAATTGTATATAGGATTTCTCAAAGTTTTGACTTTACAGAATATTCTAACTAAAAATATCCATCTTGTTGTTATTTCAAAAATAAAAATAAAAATAATCAACTCTTCTCAAATATATCCACCATACCAAATATATATATATATATATATATATATATACTGTTTGTTGTATTAATAACTTTGTTACAAATTTGTCCAGGAAATAGAATAACATGGCTGGTATTCTGAGAAAAGAAATGGAATCAGAATGGACTCAACTACTAGCTGTCAAAAACAAAAACAAAGCAGACTAAACTACTAATCGGGGATGAGTATTATTCAATTAACAGTTGATGCGAGACCAACGTCGGTTAACAGTTTAATCGCCTTTACGATTCCAAAATCCGAATTCTTTGGTGATATCTCACCAAATCTTATATTGGGCATTAATATGCCCATAATGGCCCAAATACATTTCGTTGATGATTCGAAAGGCACAATCAGTCACTACTGCTTGTACTTTGTCCTTACTACTTACTAATGCTGGAAACAGATAAGTCCATAATTGATGCCTAAATGAACCATCACTTAGAAGTTGAAAAAAACTAACATACATTTCAGAAAAGAAAAAAAAAAAGTTGGCATGTTCTGACTAGGAACATGACATATTTCATAGTAATGCTAATGATTTCTGAGACACCCTAATCTCGCAAAAATAACCTAACTTGAATTACATTCATTTAACAGCTTTTTAAAAGAATAACGAACACATTAAACAATCATTTATTATCAAAAATCTTTTATTAAAAATATATAAAACGAAAACTCAAAAAATCTTAAATATTTGAAGAAACTAAAATAATTTAATTTAAATTCTTCTTAAAAATAATTACAAAATGCACCCCTGACTCCCGGACATAACACTGCAACGACTGTCACAAGTACTACTCTTTGGTCTCACCTGAAAAAGAAGAGAGGAGTGAGTATTCGAGGATAAATACTCAGTGAGAATGTGCTTTTGGAACACACAAGATTCTTTGACATATTATTTGAAATAGCAATAATGTATATACAGTAAAACCTCTATAAATTAATAATGTCGGGACCATGATATTTTATTAATTTATCGTAATATTAATTTATCTATAAATTAATAATTAATAGAGAAAATTTGCTTTTCGCCTATAATTTTCTAAAAATTTCTTTGGAATAATGTTATATTTTTAAATTTTAACAAATTTTGTAATGTAAATTATGATTAACAATCATAACTATCACAATGAAATATTTTTTAATACCATATTAGATTGTCCATGTAAAAATATACATGTAAAAATATACATGTTTATAAGTTTAAAATTTATAAGAAGACCATGGCTACTATCCGTATTATTGATGATAAAATTGAAAATAATATTATAATACATTTAAAAATATTTACAGATAAGAAAATCAATTATCACATCAAAAAGTGATCATAAATTTTGACATGTATATTGTAAAACACCAAGAAAAGCTACTGATATAATAATTAGAGAGATAAGATCCTATGAAATTTTAATCTTAAGTAAAAGCAAACACATTAATCATATTTTAGAATATTATATTTACATGTATGAGCAAAAAGATATATAATTATTAATTTATGTTTTTGTTGGGACCATATATTTACATAAAGGTTTCAAAAAAAATATTATCTTATTATCTTATCGAATTTGATAGATTTTTACATTGGCCCGACATGAGACCAGTAAAATTTATTAATTTATAGTGATTATTAATTTATCGAGTATTAATTTATAGATGTTCTACTGTACATAATATAAACATCAAACTCAAGCAACAATCAACCTAAAATAACTAATATTATTATATAATATATATATATATATATATATGATTCTAATATTAATAAATAAATACAATCATTCAATCATTCAAATCAATCAACCTAGAAATTCTCTAACACATTCCCAAAGAACTTCCGTCAATGGTATTCATTCTCTGCCACTATCGTTCTCGGCTTGACAAGTTACCGGTGCCACCACCTCAACAGGGCTTGACTATGGCTCGTCAGCTTTTTCTCGATCACTACAGCTTCACAATATTCAGTCTTTCACTGTAGGCCGTCAAACAATTTATCGATCAGTACAACTTCACAATCTCAGTTCTTCGTTGTAGGCCGTCAAACAATATTGTAACTAAATAAATATTATTTCAATTAACAATTAAATAACTTAAAAGCTTATTATCATATTTCTGTATTTTTTATTATTATAATTAATAACCAATCAATAACACATATCAATCAGCATGATCAAATACCAATCATAGATCATGTTTAATACCTATACTAAGCATACACATATTACTAAATCAATTAATATATCTTAGAAATCTACAAACTTGTCCTCACCTTTGCCATTTGAAGAAGATTAGCAAACTCAGTTCACATTCGGATAGATTTGATATATGACAGAAAAATGGTCATAACTTTCTGTTCACAGCTCGGAATTGATATCTGAAGATTGATCTGGAAAGCTGGGTCGAAAATCTTCACGCCGGTATATAGATCGTCTTCTGGATATTCCTAGATCGCCGGAAAAACGCATCACAAGTTAGCTGCTCGCGGATTGGATTCTGCACAGATATGCCTCGGAAAAACACATATAACTTTCAAACCATAACTCCAAATAATGAAAAGCTTCCGGCTATATCTAGATCTAAGGGTCAGGAACATTCTCACCAATTTTCAGGTCGATCGGACTTCAAATAAGTCGTCCTCAGTCCTTTGAAGTTGCTGCGTCGAAGCAGATTTCTGAGTTACAAGATGATGCAGATGATACTTGCGCAGAAAGAAAGCTTCGTTGTGGCCTGACCTTAACTCCGATGACGATGCCGTTTTCTCCTATGGCTTCATTGCATTGAGATCTTTCCAGAAACACCTTGATCACGGTTTAACTCTCTCTGAAACAGCGGGAATCACACTCACAAAACCCATCTTGAATCTGTGTCTTCTCCCTCAACTCTCTTCTCTTTTTCTTCTCTTCTCTTTCTCTTCTCTTAAGGCGCAGCTGTTTCTCTTCTCCATTTTTTTTGTTTCATTAGGTTTCGTTTAGGTATTTTTGGTTTAGAGAAAGAAAATTAAAATATGGATTTGGGCTTAATGAGTGTTAAAGGAATTTGATTAGAGTTTAGGGTTTTAAAAAGAAGAAAAAAATTGGGCTAAATCTAAAGTTTGGGATGTCACAATTTCACTGTATCACGACCTGGGTCAAGCTCGCATATTGAGTGTTAACAAGAAATGGCATGGTTTCAAAATAGATGTAATTATATTTGTACGCCATTTATTTGATCAACGTAACATACTGAAATACTTACAGCGAATTCCTAGACAATTTGAATTAAAAAATAAAAAATAAAGTTAATATGGAAGACTCAGTTTGTTGGGACGACTCTGAAAAGTTCGACTTTTATCTAGCTAGCAATAATGTGATTGGACAAATATTGAAGGTAATTTTGAGGGAAAAAAAATTATTATAATATTCTGATGAACTTCTAAGAAGAGTTCATCTACTGGAGGTGCTCTTACATACCGTGAATAGTGAAAAAGAAGAGCGAATATATATATCAAAAGTCGTAGTTTCTGAGAAGAATCAAAGGTACCAGACACGATGAAATTTTTTTATATACTGAAAGTAAAGATATGCAAAATATATCGGAGAGTTTTCTCTTTTTTTTTTCTTCTAAATGTAGAAACGGGGAGTTTTGTTGCTATGGAAAACTCTTCTTGTTTTGTTAGTTTTTTATTTCCCAAAAGCATCAAATAGTCTGTCCTATCTCTTTCCTATTTGCCAACAAGAGACACCATACAATTACCTTCAAATTCAGATAGAGACAGTCACTACTCACTAGTATATTTTGCCATAGATAAAATTGAATATTTTTTTCGTAATAGGAGCCATTGAATAGAAGTTAAATACCTTTAACAAGTATTGTTGGGGAGAATAGGAATAATGACATATTATTCATTAGTCATTTTTTTTAACCTTATCCATTTGTAACTTCATGGACCTTAATTTAAGAGCATGTCCATCAGGGATTTATCAAGAGTTCATGGCACAGGTTTTAAGACGAAATTCAATAAAATAATAATTTTAAAGGTAGAAGTTTATGGTCAAAGTTCTTCCCGACGAACCTGAAGAACCCAAGTTCATCCAGGTTCATCACACGTGGAGCATCCTGATTGGTCTAAAAAAATAATTTTCGAATTTAAAAAAATAAAAAAACAAAATCCAAAAAAAAAATATTATTATATTGGGATGAATCCCTTTCTCAGAAGTTCACTGATAGACATGGTCTAATAGGAGTCCAGATTTGTATATGTAAGAGAATTAATGTCAACCATTTCTCACTCTCATTATAGAATGTAAAGATGATAGTACATATAATAATGGTAGTTTGAAAAAAAAAAAGTACATTATGGTAGTTTTTGAGTACATAAAGTTTCTCCGATCGGTGAAAGGCAAGGACAATAAAACTTACCAAGCCAAACCAACACATGTAGATTAGTTAGACAGAACAACCCTACACGACCAACAAAAGAAAAATATGACAGATTCAAAACCTAGAAATTTGCTGCAACTGTTAAAAAATTTCAGTTGCAGAGATAACTACGCAACCATTATAGATGAGATAGTCACACGAAAGATTCAAGAATCGGACAGTTTGCTAATTGCATCCCATTCGATCTCCACCGAAGGAAACTTCGCAAGCCAAAAACTCCCAATCTCGTCAAACTCATAATCCGAGAAATCCAGAAATGCCAATTGAGACTCATCCGACAACGAGTTCTCATCGGTTCTCGGTGGCTTGTCGAATGATTTCATTGTCTCCGGATGCTCTGTTTTCGGCAAGGGAAGCTCTGTTCTATCTAAAACAGAGCATATGTCCTCTGTTTTATCCGAAACAGAGCAAGCTTCCTCTGTTTTTCTCAAACTCTCACAAATAGCTTGGAGCTTGGCATCGACAGAGGAAGGGAGAGGGTTAATGTCTTCGTGTCTGATGTTTGGGAAGTTAAGCTTCGTTATATCTCCACGGAGCTGAAAAGCGGCTTGGTCGTAAGCCAAGGCAGCTTTCTCGGCGGTTTCGAATGTTCCAAGCCAGAGACGTGTCCGGTTCTTGGGTAAACGGATCTCAGCAACCCATTTTCCCCAGTGTCTTTGCCTTACGCCTTTGTAGAGCTTCTGAGATTTGGAGGAAGAAGGTGATAGTTTCTTCATTTGGATTCGGTTCGGAGACATTGTGCTGCGTCTATGGTTAAGCTGGTTCTGAATCTGGTAAATTTGGTATGGTGTGAGCTGGTTTAGACCGAGAGGCTTGGGTTGGTTAAAACCGAAGCTCGTGTTTGATTTGGGGATATTAGGAAGAGAAGTAGTTTCCATGAGAGGATCGAGATAGAGATATGTGGCCACCATTGATATAGCTATGTTACAAAATGTGAGATTTTTATAATATACAGAGGAAAAAGCAACGGAGAGAATTTAAAAACACATCCTCTTAGCTGTTGGAATCGTAATTAAGGTACGGGTACCCATTTGAAAGACAGGAATGGAGAGGAAGAAGATGGAGTGAAAATGATTAAAACGAAAACTTTTAGGTCGAAAAAGGAGAAACTCAATTTTGAAGGTGAACTCGCTCTTTTTTTTTTTTTTTGCCGCTCGTGGTTTCGCCTTGTTCTGAAGCTCTCGGCCTTTTTATAACGTCTGCCTCCATTGAATTCGTCTTGATATTATTTTAAGAAATATTTCTCACAAATTTCAAATTTTATTAATTGTTTTTGTAATCGTCACCTGCAATATTTCTATTTTATTACATCAATGGAGGTAAGCTATAGGAAAGTGCCATGTCTACTACATATGCTTTGGATCTAGTCATCTAGCCGTTCCAAGAAATAAACATTTTTTTTTTCTGTTGTATTTAAGACATGTTTTAGTTTCAAGTTTTAACACGCACTATATGACTCAATTAGGGAGGATAATTCAAATGTTTTTAAACCATCTTTTTGTATGATGGAAGTAAGAGAAGCCAGTGATAGTTTAGGTGTTTAGTGAGCTTTAATTAATTCTAAAATTTCAGTTATAAACTTCAAAAAAAAAAAAAAAATTCGATGATAAGGTTGTAGATAAAGTGTTGAAGTTTACACACATGGTTGGTTGGGGAGTTATTATAGCTACGTGCTTTTCACATTTACCAGTTTTTTCTTTTCAAAATAAATTTCACGTCTACTTTTTTCATAATACCATATTTGGGATGTTTTACACTCTGATAATTGATAAATGACTAATAAATTATTTAGTATAAGTTATAAATTAAAGGTTGTAACTTGTAAGGGCCATAACAACAAAACACATAACTAAATTATTGATTCTAAAATTCTTTGAAAGGCCAATTTGCCTTCAAACCATTTAAACATTAATTGGAAGGAGTAAGATCATCCACAACCCTGAACCTCATAATGGGGTTTATCAATATTTTTTAATAAATTTTGGAGGATAGAGAATGTAGAAGAACCTTGGATGAACCTGGGTGAAAAATGGGCGTCCAACCTTGATACCCAATTAGAAGTTCAACAGAATAAAATAATAATATTTTTTTGAAAGTTTTTTTTTTTTAATTTGTTTAAACATTTGAATTATTTAAAATGAAAAAATTTATTAAGTACATATAATTTAAAACTAAACATAGAAATTGAAAAAACAAAAGTAAAAGTAAAACTAATAATCTTCGATAGCTTCGTCCTCAGACGACGAGGGCTCGCTCCAGCTGATAGGCATTGCTAACCTCGCAACAACAACATAAGCATTTCGATGGTTAACTACTTAAGCAAAACAATCAATGAAACCTACAAAGCAATATCCAATCACATAATTTTATCATCAAGAACCCTAATTTTATCATCAATTTTTAAACCCCTAATATGAGTAATCCGGAACCGATTGAATATAAGAACAATGAATCGCACCCAAATCTTACTAAACACCAAAAGCCCCAAAACAAAAGTGCCCGCAAAACCCTAATTTTCCCCTAATTTAGTTAACCCTAGTCTCGATTCAAACTCCCGAATAAAACGAAATTAAAATACATCAAAAGAAACAGACGACGTACCTTACTGATCCACCGGAGGAGAAGCGACGATTCACCGTTGATTCGATCGAAGAGGAAGACTTGTGTCGAAGTCGCGATATCGCAAATCGTCTTTGGGAGTTTTTTTTTTGATAAAAACAGAATGCGAAATAAACCCTAACCTTCGACCCCGACTCTAAAAAATTTCCCCCAAACTACACCCAATCACTGCTGCCACGTAGCTCGTTAAACCTCGACGATACGGACTCATCAGGCTCATCCCAATGAGACAGTATCAACGAGTTTTTGGGCCTAATCGATTAAAAAAAATTAAAATAATAGTATTGGGCCCCACGGATGAATCCCACTCATCCCGCGTTGTGAATGGTAAGGACCAATAAATATGTGAGATTCTAGTACCAATTCACATCGACATTTGGAATATGGCATTTTATTATGTTATTGTAATTTTATGTGGACACATATACATTCAAGGTACGGGCTAAGTCCAAAAGGAATGGGTTATAATACTAATAATATCATCCATGTGAATACTGGTGTGACAGATGAGTGAGGTATTTAATTAAAAAAAAAAAATTAAAGAAGATTTTACTATGTGGTCCGTCATAATCCGGTTGAACAGACAATATCTAGTAGAATTTCTTCTTAGGAATTTGGTGTTATAATGTTAAAAAAAAATAAGATATTTGATGTTATATAAAAGAATAACAATAGAGGATTGCAAAAATTAAGTTAACCGAGTAGGATGAATTTGTGGTAATCAGAAGTGAAGTTAAAGACAGTCAAACAAAGGCATAGGGATTTAGGAATTTGAGATGCCAGTTACGATTAGTGAACCTTTAAATATTCGATTTAGAAGCTAAATGTTCAGATATTACTAAGTATATGCGAGTTTAAAGTAGTTATTTCAGAGTATTGTTAGACAAATATTTAAGATGAACACGCCTAAATATTGATACCACCAAAGCAAATATTGAGGTCTATAGAAGTAAGAGTATTTAGCGAGGTTTACATTGGTGCATTTTTCAAAATATTGTTACTTATTAGAAAAGAAAGAGTAGTTTAAATCATCAAGTTTGTCAAATTAGAGGAAAAAAGCATGAATATGTTCATTACCGGTTCATTAACCGAATAAATACTCCTTTTTATAACATAAATAGTCCTTGTTTATATGGCCAAAAAACTCGGATTACGTCAATGTTGATGGTCGAAAAATATTGTAAAAATTATGTTATTTAGTCACAAAATGTAAAAGATCAAAACCCAATTGTAAGTTACAAAATCCTCAATTCCACTTAGTAGGAGGATTTAAACATTTAAATTCTTCAAATCACGAATCATCTTATTCATTTTTTAAATTTTTTTTGCAAAAGATTTTAGAGAATATTATTTTACTATTCAAGATTTTGATATATGAATGTAAAGAGACCTAAAGACGAAATTGTATATACTAATATAAAACAATTTAATATTTTTGTCAACTAAGATAAGCATCCTACTTAATTGACAATTAGAATCATCACAACCAAAAACTATATATAATCACCTATATTATATTTTATTTGCTATGTTATTAAGAATTATATCTATGCCACCACAACTCATGCTCGAGATAATCTAAAAATAATGCTAAATACATGAATCCTGATCTTTTTTTTTTTTTGATCCAGCTAATGTTTAATTATTTTTGAAGTTAGTCAAAAGAGAGAAGAATATTCATATACCTTTTAAACCTAGCTATAGGTGCTTGTTCATTATACTGGATGTAAATGATGACATGCAGAATTTGGCAGAAAAGTGGTGCAGATGACAAATAACATAAAATTAATGGTAATCTTTATCAAAATCTGGTTGATTGATCAAGGAAAACTAGCAATTGAATATTAGATGGAACATATTATACTTGCACGGAACTAGAAATACAGCGTCTCACATGTTCCATATATGATTGCTCGATTTGATCAATTTTGGTAGTACAAATGTAGATTAAAAGTGATTGGAACAATTTAACTAAGATAATTTTATCAAAAAAAAAAATAATTACAAAGAGAATGAAGGTGAGTGAATATAAAGATATACGAAGAAGATAAGATATATATATAAGAAATATATATGAGCATTATCTATTAACTAATTGTGTAGACAATAGCTACAAATATGTTTTTTTTTTTGGTAAGGCTGATGTGACAAAAAAATAGGTATTGATATGTCATACTCTTGTGAAGACAACTCACTATACAATAGACCAGTACTACATGATTACAGGCTCGACGCTTAGATTCTATATTATAATTTTCATTCATTGTTCACTCTGTATTTACATTTTTGGCTAGCTTATGTACATTCGTTTAAAGGTCTTGAGCATGACGTTTAGTAACATATTTCTCTTCCAAAATCATTTTCAACAAGCTTATCTCCAACTGTCCTCATATCCAAGAGCTCTTCAAACACATTGAAAAGTCTCCAACTGATATAGCATTGTTGAGATTGAGAATGTAGGCAAGACTTATAAGTATATACATCTAGGAAAAACTCACAATCTTGAATAAGCTAAATAAGATCAATGTCTGCATGTTTCATGTCAAACCAAATGCGTTAGATGAACATGTTTGAGATAGTACACAAGCTTCGTTACTACAAACACCGAGGATCACCTTCATGAAACCTCAGTGTGATAAGTAACTTTTGTTCTATCTTAAAAATAAGTAGAGTAATATTAAGTAATATCCATTCTAAATAAGTTAATTGCACTTTGTCTTTAGCATGATTTGGACGAGAATATGAACATAAATAAAATTAAAGAGCCAAATCTTCAACTAATTTTTTCATGTTTTACATGATTGTCAAACCCAACTTCTCTCATCCGTATTTTGCATAGACACAGTGGTCACCGATATATTTGTAGTCATATGATATCTGCGATAATAGCTAACATCAAATAATAATATTTAAATGTAGAGGAATATATAGTCAATTAAGAATTAAACCAACTACGATTTGTAGAGATTTTAATTTGTTTATGGAAAAAATAGTGTTATATATGTCTTATAACTTTTTTTTCCTTCAAAAGTTGATGGATTATTTTAAATAGAGGCAAGGTTTACTGATGTTTTGGACAAATAGAAAAGAAAGAGTTTACAGATGTTACATATACAATAACAACACCCATCTAAAAAACCCACACACGTGAAAAGAAACTAATTGAACCAAGTAGTGACTGACCCATGGTCATGGCTAGCCCTGGGCATAAAAAACCGGAACCAAAAAACCGAACCGGAACCGACCCGAAATCACCGGTTCGGTTCGGTTTCAGTTCTTGCATAAATACCCATTGGATCTTAAATCTAGGATTCATGGATATCGGTTCGGTTCCGGATATTACCCGAGAACCGAAATACCAAACCGGATATCCGAAATAATGTGTTTCTTTGGATAACTGGAGATGAACTCTTCGCCATTGCTACAAAATAGACTGTGAGAGAAAGGAGGAAGGGGACGGTGATGGAGAGAGAGAGGCTTTGAAATTGTTTTAATGGGCTCTTCAATTGAGGTCCTTTAATTAATCGCTGTTACATTTTTCCAAGACTAAAATAACATGTTTTTTTTGTTTTTTTAATAAGTAGATCTTGGGTTTTTATATTTTTTTGACGTTTGGGCTTATACATATAATAAGGAACTCACTAATTTTTTTTCCAATTCTCATTGTGGTCCAATTATCCACCATATACACAAAATTAAAAAAAAAAAGGAATAACTCTCACTTGTTTTCGCAGGCTTCTTCTCCATCTCCTTTTCATAGAAATATAGTTTATGGTTTTCAAATCTGAAATTTGGGGTTTTCTGTTTCTCTCTGTTTATATTTGAAATTGACTTCATTTTTTCTCTCTCTCTTTTTTCGTTTTTCACTACAAATTAGTCTTGACTGATAGAGAGTCTTACTTTGAAAATCAATTTAGGGTTTTTATATATAAAATCGATTGGGGTTTTCTGTTTCCACTTCTACTTTGTTAATGAGTCCATGTCTGGGTGCTAACTTTTGCATTGTTAATGAGTCTGTTTCCGTTTCTTCTTTGTTAATGAATCGATTTAGGGATTTCTTATTCGGATTTCATTTTTTTGGTCAGTTGAAAAAAAAGTTTTGATTTTGGTTTATTTCTTTTTAGATTTCGGTTTTTTTTTAAGATTTCGGTTATTTTTTGTGATTTCGGGTTTGGAATACCCGAACAATTTTTTGAGAACCGAAATTTTTCGGTTTTTTTCGGTTCTTATCTTTCAATACCCGAACCATTCCGGAACCGATAGGTACCGAACCGTTCCGGAACCGATAGGTACCGAACCGGAACCGAACCGAATTTAATTCAGTTCTTATTTGGATCTCAAACCTTAAGAACCGAAATATCCGGAACCGTTCGGTTCCTACCCGAAACCGAACCGGATACCCGAAAGCCCAGGCTGAGTCGTGGCCTATTAAAAGCATTAGTGGCCTATTCATTGAAGCACAGTAAGAAAGGAAATTCATAAGTCATGTCGAGTATCTTCCGTGAAACGGAGAGAGATCACCGAGAGAACCAGAGTTGCATGTATTTGCTTGCCGTGGCCGGAAGATATTCGACTCCTGTAAAAAAAGTACATATATGTTCTTTTACTTTTTCTTTTCACAGCATTCTTCAATCAGGTACATACATTCTATGTTTTTTTTTAAAGGTTTATTTAAATTAATGGTGATGGATTACATTGCAATTTACAAAAAAAAATAGTCGATAATCTTTTGACAAAGAAAAACCCAGCTATATGGATTTTGAGGTTTTCTATAAAAATTTGTTAAACACTCCAAAACTAGTTTTCTTATTTTGTAGAAAAACCTTTTTTCTAAAATCTTAAATTGCTATAACATATATATATATATATATATATATATATATTGGACAAACTAAAATCAAAAACTACTTAAAAACTTAATTTGAGGTAAAATTTTGTGCTTTTAAAAGTGAGAGTAGTGGTGGATATAGAAAAAAAATTTAGTTGGATTTATAATTTTATAAACAAATAAAAAATAAGTTTTGTTGAGGGCAATTTTTTCTTTTTTGTTATTGAATTAAAAATTTTAATTTTTACTTAAATTTATTTTAAAAAAAAATAAAAATAGTATGGAGCAGGTGATTCCAATCCGCTTAAGCTAGATCCGCCCCTGGGTGAGAGAAGTGATGATAGTAAATTTGTTTTTGTTTAAACATGATTTGGTGGTTTATACATCGTGCACGGTGTACGCAAGGAGGTGGAGATCGTGGGAGTTGAAAACGGGGTGAAACGATTTGCGTCAGTTAACTCTAAGAAAATAAAATACTTTTTTTTTTTGATAACTATTGAAAATAAAATATGTTAAAAACTAAACAATGTAAAATTGTGTGTTTGACACGTTAGGGAAATATACATGTGTCAAGTTTGATTTGACTAGCGTAGTACTGTCATCTATATAAACCAATTAAAGACTGTAAAATTTATTTACAATATCAAAATATCAAAATGCAGGATCAAGATAAAAATCAGTCGATGGCTCAGGTCAGAAAAAGAAAAAGAATGGCTATGGAGTTTCCGATTGATTTGGTGGAGGAGATACTTTTGAGGGTTCCAGCACAATCTGTGGTTCGGTTGAGATCAACTTGCAAGCCGTGGAAAACCCTAATTGTGGACCATAGATTCGTCAACAAACACTTCTGGCGCTGGCGTGGCAAAGAACAGCAATTTATGCTGGTTAACGACACTCTTCCTTCATCATCAGGTTCAAAAATTTCTTGTGTGGATATAGTTTTCAGTGAACTCAAAAACCCTTGTTTGAATGCTGAGGTTGTTAAACCCATATCTTTATGGTATTTATTGGTGTACAATGTTTACCATTGTGATGGTCTTTTGTTATGGGTCATGGGAGCTGGACTTTTGGTTTTAAATCCCTTATTGAAAAAGGAAGATGGATCAAACGTGTCAAACGTGTCACTAGCTTTGAAGATACTGATCATGCCTATGGTCTTGGGTACATTAGTAACCAAGCATCAAACTGTAATGATTACAAAATGATTAGGTTTAGTTGCGCTACTCATAGCAGCCTTCATTTATGGGTATACGATTTCAAGTCTGATTGTTAGAAGGCTGCTGTTGATGAAAACTTTGATGGGTTCTTCAGTTTACCATTGTCAAATGTGTGTTTGAAAGGAACCCCTTATTGGCTAGGTTTTATTAAACGCGGTAGTACAATCTTTTCAATACAGAGTTTCAATTTCTTGAAAGAGAGATTTGAGCCCGTGTTTCTTCCTTCTTCGTTCATTGAGTCAATTAGGTGGGGAGATTTTCTGTCTTTGGGGATTTTCAGAGGAGATCACCTTTCTCTGTTACATCAATCCAAGCTAACACGTAAAATACACTTTTGGGTGAAGGAGAAGCAGCATTGGAACATGTTGATGACAGTTGTTATACCTGAACTTACCATGTTTCGTATATATTCAAGTTACTTCGATGAAAACAATGGTAAGCTTGTGATATGTGGTCGTCACTATGAAACCGGGTCTGTTAGCATCTTCACTGCAGGGGAGTCTGAAGAGTTCCAAAAATTTGAATATCGCCCTTGGATGAGTCGTACAATCGGTGGTTGCTACTATGTTCCGAGCTTGCTTCAGGTTCCGGGCACTTCTAGGTGAGAAGAAGAATCAGGTTCCATTGTTGATAATTTAGTGTTTATGTTTTTTGATGTGTTATATTGTCTCACTTTGGAACTCCATAAACAGAGTGGGATAGTGTTGTTTATTAGTTTGAATCCTTTTTGTAAGAAGAAAGTCGTTATATATATTATTTATTTAGTTTGAATCCTTCAACTTGTTGCTTTTTTCTTTAAACTGATGAAATTGTATTCTTTTGTCTCTATACAATTATTAAAAGTATAAACTTTATGTATATTGGGTTCAAGAGTAAAACTCCATGCATGGTTGAGGTGACTTAATAATGATGGGTGCCAAGGAGTTAAACATAATACTGAACACTTAGTGGTGGGTTGCCACTTCGATCCTAGCTTGATTCAGATTCCATTATTAAGTTGAGACATCAAGTTAGTTTATAACTTATTAGAGCATAACCGTTTAGGCCGAACAGAACAGTACATAAATAGAACATATATAAGCCAAAACAGCGCATAACCGTGAAAACAAACCATATTGTTATTAATTAAAACAGAACGACTCGCAAAGTATTCAACATCATCATCACTACTAGGCCATCAAATATATATATATATATATATATATATATATATCTTCTTTCAATATTTTGTCAGTTTTATTCTATATTATTTACATCTTGATTAACTAATCCGTACGACCTAAACAATGCACGATGTTGTAGTCACGAGGAACGGATAGTATGTGGTCAGACCACTCAACCTTCCCCACAATATCTAATCCATTCAAACTCCATTCCAACGCAACCATTGCACAGCAAATCTGATCCATCTTCTGTATGGTGCTACTTTTCCGTATTAACACCAACTTTCCATTGTATTCAGCCATTGCGTCGACATTGTGGTAAGAAAATTCATTGAGCTCCAAACCTTTAACTGTTCTCCATTGCTTCTTCTTAGAGTCATACCACACTAACCCAAAATAAAAGCAGTAAAGGTAGAGCACATTGTCTATCACACACACGTCTTTACTGCAGCTGATATTATATGGTGTACCAATCTTCTCACATTTACCGTCTCTCGGATCATAAACTATAACTTGTCCATAATCAGTCTTGGCATAAATCTTTCTGTCCAGTGTCGGGCTTACAACACCCGAAATCTGTATGTATGAAATGTGCACATCGGGATTTGGAGCTACCTCCCAAGTTTGCGTCTTTGTGTCAAAAACTTCCACTTGGATCTCTTCTTTGTGTTCTTCGTCTTGGCGCCTTCCAAACATGTAAAGCTTCTCGTCAACTTGTCCCACAGCAACTGAAAAAGGCCAGGCAACACGCATACTTGGACCCTGACGCAACTTTCCAGACCGAGAATCAAGGATCCACATGCTCTTGCTGGGATTGATATAACCGCAGAGTAAGTAGATATCGGAACCCACCATGAGAGCTGAAGAGTACGACTCAGGCGGTGAAGGAAACGGGACTGAGGTTAAACTATATTTACCCGTCGTCGTTTTGTGACTGAGAGTGAACCAATGAGTGGTTAGGGAAGAATCATTTCTGAACCAGACGTAAAAGGCATCATCCTTGCCCATGAGAGACCGCGTCTTGCGAAGCTCCGAGGAACTTACGAGGGATCGTAAGCTCTTGGAGACGCGAGGGAGAATTGGATGATACCGCCTCGGGACTCGACTTAAGATGTTTATAACGATGTCGTTTGGTAACGAGGCAAACGACGACGATGGCTGTGGAGGATCATTGTTTGGTAGTGGTGGCTTCTTGGTTTTGGAAGCGGCGGTTGTAGACATCGTCTTGTAATTTTTTAGGGTTTGATATATCTTTTTTAGGTTTTCGCTTGGTGGAATAATATATTCACTGAGCCTAATCTTTAATATTTCTACTTAATGTATTTTTAACACTTTTTTTTTTTACCTTCAAAAATATCAAAATACCTTAAAGAAATCACACATACTTAACTACATATATAAAGTAGTGTACTTTTAAATCAAATTGTAATATCTTTGGATAATTATCATAATTATAAAAACATGCAATTATAAAAAATATCATCAAATAAAAGAAGTTAACAAATATGGACCTCAAAGTAAAATCAAAATCATAGAAGATCTTAGTAAACTACAGAGAACTTATGATATGTGTTCACATCATATTTTGCTTGGTTCATTCGATTCAATCAAATCAAGAGAAAATTAAGCTAGAATGGTTTTGTGAAACACTTGATTTTAATTTCCAAATGCAAATTGTTGTTACAAAACGATTTTGGTTCTTACAATAACTTAACAACATCTTCATCAAGATCAAAGCATAGGATGACACTCGAACGATGTTAAGCGAAACTGATGCTGACCTAATCCTTTTCGAGGAGAAACCGCGTCGTGTATCTCACGCAATTTTATCAAAACTGTTGCTTGCATGATAAAGTCAATTACATTATACAAGTATTTTAATTAATCCATTGGGTGTAATGCCCTGACAAATTAAACGGAAAAAGAAGAGTTTCAAAGTAATTAAGTATTAAGCTTGATCTCAAGCGTCAAGCGCCTACTAAAACAGAGCGACTAGCATAAAGCCTATGTAAAAGGCAATGGTCCTTAGATCCAAGCAGTGACTTTGTTGGTTCTTTTTCGAACATTACTTATAAATAAATTAATCTCACGTTACTTGATTCAGAACCATCTTCAACGCCCTTTAATTGGCTTCCTTGACAACTTTTAGACTGAATTGGATCATTCTTCAACAATCTTCAACAAAATCATGAATGCGTATGATACGGGCACGTTACAACAAGTGAATTTATTGAAAAGTGTTGGAAGACTGAACACACAAAACAATGGAAAAACAGAAGCTAATCACTTATAAGAATGACCCAAAAAAAAAAGAAAGAGTAAATGGCAAATTCAGGTTTCGTTACCTTCGCATTATTAGATTAAATGGCTAAATTGCAGTTTTTTTTTTATGTAGTGAGGGATTACTAAATTTCATCACTGTACAGGGGTTTGGCAGGACTTCCAAAGTTTGGAAACTAGCAATTTTACGAAACATGATCCTCAAGTAAGCTCAGAACTATTGTAACTCTTTTGAAGTTGATTAATTATTCTAGAAAACTACTAATGTCAATTAAGCCTAATTAATCTAGGAATATGTTATAGTCACGATGTGACAGCTTTGCTATAAAAGAAAGACATTTAATTTTACGGGAAAAAGGATGAAAGAAATATTCAAAACAAAACAGAACATGATCAAAGGTATGATCGGAGCAAGCAGTACTTAAACAGAGAATAACAGTAGTTGTAGCTACATATTACTAGATTTCACTGAATTTCAAAAGACCTTCCAAAGTTGGATGGATGCTAGCTTATTAAAGATAAATGATCCTGTATATAGTAAACTCAGAACTATTTTTTAGAGATGATAAATGAATATAGAAAAACTACAAATGTTAGCCTAATTAATCTAAGAATATGTTATAGTGGCAACGTGACGAGTTTGCTATATAAAACAACGACATATAAATGTTACCGAAAAAGATGAAAATATTCAAAACAAAACAGAACATGACTAAGGTATGATCAGAGAAATACTTAAACATAGAATATAGGAGCCAAAACACAGCATAAAAATCACCTTTAAACCATTCTGGACATACCTCTAATCCATACGGCGTAAACAATGCATAATCGTATTGCTACTAGGGATGGAAAGTACATGATCAATCCACTCAACCTTCCCTGTAATCTCTACTCCACTTTTATCCAACGAGATCATTGAGCACCAAATCTCCTTGTTCATCTTTTCTCCCCAACGTTCCCACAAAAGCGCCAACATTCCATAGTATTCAGCCATTGCGACTTTGCTCACATAACCATCGCTGAGTTTCAAACCATTAACCACTCTCCATTCCTTATATTTAGAGTCAAACCACATTAACCCAAATCTGGACTTGTAAGTGTAGAGCACATTTTCAATCATACACACATTTTCTCCATAGAATGCACCCGCTGGTGAGTCAATCGTCTCACATTTACCACCTCTAGAATCATAAACTATGATGTATCCATTATTGTATGTAGCATAAATTTCTCTCCCAAGTGACGGGCGCACCACCGACATACGTATAGTTGGAACTTCCACGTCGGGATTTGGAGCTACTACCCAAGTTTGTGTCTTTTGATCAAACACTTCCACTTGGATCTCTTCGTCCTCCTTTTTGTACTTTCCAAAAGAGTAAATATTCTTATCCAAAAGTCCCACAGCTGCAAAACGGCGGGCCACTAGTGTACATGGACCCTGACGCATCTTTCCAGACCGAGAATCGAGGATCCACTTGCTTTTGTGGAAAGAAAAATTGGGATTGTAATAACCCCGGACGAAGTAGATCTCGGAACCAACCATGAAAGTCGAAAAGCATGGGTAAGGCAAAGAAGGAAAAGGGATCGAGACTAAACGATATTGATCAGTCGTAGTATTCTGGTTAAGAATAAACCACTGATAAGTTCGGAAAGGAGAATCAATGTCTCCAAAGCAGACGTAAAAGGAGTCATCCTTGCCCAAGAGAGATCGCGTCTTCCGAAGCTCAGAGGAGTTTACCAGAGATCGTAAGCTCTTCGAGACACAAGAGAGAGAGAGGGGTGACACCGTCTCGGGACTCGAGCTAAGACGTTCAAAACGAGGTCGTTTGGCAATGAATAGAACAAAGATGGTGGCTCGTTCGTGTTGGAAGCGGCGGTGGTAGTCATCGTCTTTTGGAATTTTAGGGTTTGATTTCTGTCTTACGATTGGTTTTGGCTTGGTGGAGAAATTTCACGAAACCCTAACCCTAGTATTTGTACTGATTTTTTTTTTCTTAACATATTTTAAGAAAATACTTCTATTAAAAAGCAAATAAATATTACAACGGTATAACTGTTTTCAGTTTGAAATAGCAGTTTAAGAGAGGAAAATAAGCATGTATACAGTAAGATAGTTTTTAAGAGTCAACATAAGCTAAAGAAAGAAAGGAAAGAGCAGAGCTAGCTTATTATTTATTTTTTTTTTAATAAAATGTTAAAATATATTCAAAAAAAAAAACAATGTTTTACAATCTTATTCTTTACATTTTTGAAGAAAAACAAGATTTTAAATCTTAAGTCTTATCTTGAAGAAAACCAAACTTCCAATCCATCTGCATACTTCATTACTCCATTACTGCGGATAGAACAAATCTGATTGCGGACGTGTTTGTCAATCATCTTGACCAGTCGGGGAGCTGTTGAAGGTGCCTCGCCATGTCTCCTGTTATTTCTCTCTCTCCAAATCGAATGAACTGTAGTCTGGAAGGTGTATCTGATCAGAAAAGTTTTTGTAGTGTTAGGAGATTGTGCAAGTAAGTTCAAACACAGCCCCCAATCACTCACAAACACAGAGCTAGCTCATTAGAGATCACTAGTTGATGTGTTGACGACCACCTCGGTCTCTACGACCACGGCTTCCATGAAATCAACCATAGTCCATTGCATTTTTTAGATCTTTTTAGTTGGGCTGATTAGCCATCCTCTTCGGATCTTCTGAATTAAGTATACATTCAAGTCCATATTTCGTAAGGAGAGCTGATTCCTTTAACTCCAATAATGCAAACCACTTATTACCGTGAACTCGCACATCCATTTCTTCATTTCCCTCTTCATACGCAATAGTTTCACTGACATATGCATATATTTAGTTTCTTTGCTTTTCATTGACAGTGGGGACAAAAAAGTGCGGATGAGAAATGTGATGGAGTAGAGTCATCCTTTAGAACTGATTCACAGTATATGGAGTAAGAGCTAGTAGCAATTTCAATAGTCAGTGGAGAGATGGTAATTATAGACACTTGCAAGAACATGGACATTCTCAGAGCTAGAAGGTTCACTAGCCAGCTTTGAAAAGCACGTGGAGCAACCACGACTAGTAAAGGATTGCTTGAGTTCATGGTTGATGCAGTTTTAGTATTTGTTCATGTATCTGAATCAGAAAATGGATCTTGTTGTAACTCAAGTGATAATCTTAGACAACGGAAAGTTTTATGATCCAGTTGGCCACAACTAACGCATATAAGAGCCAACCAAGAATACACTACATCAACCATTAAGATGGAGCACTCACTCTTGTCCTCAACAACCACCTTTTGAAGAAACCGTTTATTTAACTTAACTTCAACAACAACCTTTTAAAGAAAAGGTTCGTCTAACTTAACCTCTAACTTACAAATTAGTTGTTTACATTATAAGTTAACTCAAGTTTTTGATATAAACAAAAAAAGGAAAAAACGTTCATATTTTTTTGTTGTAATTTTGATATATTTTATTGATGAAATCCTTATTTCTCCAATATAAAGACATTTCACAAAACCTCTATAAGTGACTAATTCAATAACTTGAATAATATCATGAATGCTAGATTCAGTATTAGGAGATTTGGAAGAAAAACACTAAATTAATCATTCCAAATTAATCACTGATCCACTCTTAATTGTAATCGAGTATATATGGCTTTGCATATAAAGTATGCCAGAGTAAAAAAAAAAAACAAACTAAAAACAAAAATCAATAACAAAAGATATACTTCAAGTGAATTTGTAAGATTCTTTAAAAACAAAAACAAAAGTTCATCAGTTAAAAACTCTGGTATACAGTATACTACAAGTGAGTTTCTTGAAAAGTGTTGAAGACCGAGCTAGCTTTTTAAAATGACCAAAAGGGGAACACAAAATAAATGGCCTATACAGGGATCGAACCTGTGACCTTCGCGTTATTAGCACGACGCTCTAACCAACTGAGCTAATAGGCCTTTTTGAAGGTCTATCTACATTTTTTAATCAAATTCTACATTTTTGTTGACGTCTCCCACTGCACAATCCAACACCTTTGGACTCTCCGCTTCTTCGACTTGCAAAACGTCTCACATTCTCTCAAACTCACTCGACCACTTTGATAATGGTTACCACTTCCAACTCGGTACTCTTAAGGGCTCTGACTCACTGAGTCATCCTCATTAACTGTCTCGCAGTGACACACATGACCTCAACTCAATTTGAAATTTTTGGTTACTAATGATTACTGAAAAACATGTTCTATTGGTGAAATCAATTAAAAAAAACATATTCATTTTTCTTTATAAAATTTATTATAATTTCTTTTCCTGTTAGGCAATTAGTTGTTTCTGCAACAATTTTGTGGGTTGGCTTTTTGCATGAGTGTTCTTCTCTATTTTTTTCTTTTAAAGGGTTTGAGAGTTCTTTTCTATGTCCAAATACATACTGATTTTTTTATTATTATTCATCTCGATTGCTTTTGTTTGACATGCATGCATAAATTAATTATGGGAAAATCCACTATATTTGACATAAAATTTTGTGGGATTTCTTAGTAAAGATTTATCCGACACGATTAAACTACTGATATAATTTTCCATCAAAAGATTATAGTCAGGGCCGACCCTGACCTAAAACCCATGAAGCAAGGGTTTTAGGCGCCAAATTATATATCAAATTTAAAGGCATCATTTTTAACAAATTTTCCTTTAGTGTAGTGGTTTGAACAATATTTCTACTTCTCTAATGTCTAGAGTTCGAATTCCTATGTCTGCATTTTTTTTTATCATTTTTTTATCAGTTTTTTAATTTGTCTTCTTTTTTATTTGATGGACATCATTTTGAAGTTGGGCTTTAGGCGCACAGGGAGTTTGGGCCGGCCCTGGTTATAGTTTCCACCTTAAACATGATCATTTTATCTCTTTCTTCTATCAAGTCACGCTTTTGTGCTACATAAGCTATATCTTACTGTCTAACTAATCGATTTTGGTTGAGCATACTCACCTTAACTAAGTTCTCTTACGTGTTTTAAAATCATGTAAAGTAGGACTTAAGACGCACTATGATAATTTTTTTATAGAAAACTGTCTTAAAATTTAAGAATTTTTTTACATAGATATTTTATATACTAAATTAATGACTATAGATAGAGTTGTCAAACCTAACTAATTTGTCTATCTAACTCGTTTTACAGTATATTATTCGCACAAACTTGTAATAGAGACAATTTACAATTGAGATTTGTTACTTACTATTCGTTTCTACTGCATCAATAACGTCGATTTCCATTCTCAAATTCTTAGGCACATAATCATTCAAATAGCCCACAACTGCAGTGAATTTAGCAGGCTTAGAGAATCCTTCACTTCTTAACTTCTCCATGAGAAGGTTATGAACTTAACTGTCTGGTAGCAGAAGAGGTCAATATATTATTATAAGTTATTTTGTCTTTATATATTTTCTTAGATATATACCATGGGATATATATATATATATATATATATAGTTTTATATTCTCATCATTATACATTTTAAAATTATGCTAAAATTGCTTATAAATAGTAGACTAACAAGCATGCACTATTAGTTCATTACAGTGCTTTCAACTTCGTTAAATTTTGAAGTAATAATATTTTGATACCATTTTGAATTTTAATAGAATTGAATTTCATAACAAATGAACAAAAATAACTAAAAACACATAAAAGATATAAACTTAGCTTCAATCAGACCTCTTTCACGTCAAATCAATTATAAAAATTTATCAAAAAATCAATTGTAAGAATTTATCAAAGACGAACAACATAAAACTTTAATTAGTATATTCAAATCTTTAACTCATTTATTATATATATATATATATATATATTTTCCCCTCTAGACTAACTTGTTTGTTATTTTTTGGTAATGGTGATGGCAAAACTACAGTTTTGTTGTAGCTACAGATTACTAGATTTCAAAAGACATTCCAAAGTTGGATGGATACTAGCTTATTAAAGATATATGATCCTCAAGTAAACTCAGAACTATTGTTTAGAGATTATAAATGAATATAGAAAAATTACAAATGTTAGTCTAATCAATCTTTTTTTTTGTCGTCCATTTATCATTAGTAAAAGAAGCTCATAAAAGGTGGAGTGCAAAGAGTTTGACAAAGCCCATCAACAGCCCATACAAATCAAGATAAACACGAGTTAAAAGACATACACATCATAGACACGCGTTTTATGAAGAATAACAAGGGCAAACGTGGCAATTCGAAAACAAATCGCTGCATTGCCGTCAAGACTCCGCCGACGACGGTTTTATCTCCGGGAATCATCAGCAAATCTCCAGTGCCATCAGAAAGCTTCGCCTAAACATCTTCTTTTCTTCACATCCTTTTTTTCTCCTCCAGGTTAGATCTCGTGGGTAACACAGGCTAAAAATTGACTTCTTCAGTAGAATTGCCGCCGTTCATCGAAAACTCAAGACATCATCCTTTGCCTTGACAAGGCTCAATAGGAATTTGGGGAGTTTCATTCTCCGAGCCAAGAGCAGATGAAACCAAAAATCAAAGAAGAAAAGTTCCAACTCTTACCACCAGATCCACTCATCCCCGCCTCAATTGAAAGAGGAAACCATAGGTAGAGGAGAAAGGGGAAGAACAACCAAACAACCAGAAATCCAATGCTCTAACTTGAAAAATGATGATTCCTGTAAACAAATCTGACACACCACTAAGGATTAGTGTAAGATTGAATTAAGAAATCAACAACAAATGAAAGCAAAGGACTCTGATTGAAGGAAGTGACAATCCAAATAAATCAGAAATTATTCTCCGTTAAACGGAAAGAAAGATCCGACCTAAGCCGGAAAACATCCGATATTAATCGGAATTTACACAACAAAAACTGAGAACAATTCGCCCTCTGTGAAAGATAGTGATGAGAGAACAGAGGGAACCGAATCAATCTTTTTTTTTTTGTCGACAACCGAATCAATCTAAAAATATATTATAGCCACAACGTGTCTAATTTGCTATATAAAACAATGACATTTAAAATTTAAACGAAAATATGAAATATTTGAAAAGATGAAATAATTCAAAAGATGAAATAATTCAAAAGATGAAATAATTCAAAAGAAAACAGAACATGACTAAGTAAAGTATGCTAGAGTAAAAAAAACTAACTAAAAACAAAAATCAATAACAAAAGATATACTTAAAGTGAATTTGTAAGATTCTTTAAAAACAAAAGTTCATCAATTAAAAACTGTTGAATACCGAGCTAGCTTTTTAAAATGACTAAAAGGGGAACACAAAATAAATGGCCTATACAGGGATCGAACCTGTGACCTTCGCGTTATTAGCACGACGCTCTAACCAACTGAGCTAATAGGCCTTTTTGATGATCTATCAACATTGTATTATATATCCTTTAAATCAACTTCTACATTTTTGTTGACGTCTCCCACTGCATAATCCAACACCTTTGGACTCTCCGCTTCTTCGACTTGCAAAACGTCTCACATTCTCTCAAACTCACTCTACCATTTTGATAATGGCTACTACTTCCAACTCGGTACTCTTCTTGGGCTCTGACTCACTGAGTCATCCTCATTATCAGCCAAGAACACCTCTCAATCTCTCATTCTCCAGATCTCACTCTGTTTCTCTCCTACCCAACAAGCGATCCAATTCCCTCGCGCTTCGTTGTTCCAACAATGGCGATAACATCTCATCTGAAAAAGATACCCCAATCGAACTCAGTAAGAAATTTCTCGATCTCTCAGATGTTCTTGTGAACATTTCAATTCTCCCACTAAATTCGTCTCTTCTTTCTCTCTCTCTAATCTCCAGAATTCCCTGAATTTCCAACGGTAATGGACATTAACAAGATCAGAGAGATATTGCCTCACAGGTACAATTTTCGAAGATTTTCGTCAAAACCTATGTTTGAAAGTTTGATCCTAAACAATTCGAAAAAAAGAAAGTTTGATCCTTTCTTATTGACATTGTGGGACAGATGATGATGATGATTATGATTCTGCAATTTTTAGGTTCCCGTTTCTGCTGGTGGATAGAGTGATCGAGTATACGCCTGGTGTTTCAGCTGTAGCTATTAAGAATGTCACAATCAATGACAATTTCTTCCCTGGACATTTCCCTGATCGACCCATCATGCCTGGTGTTCTTATGATTGAGGTAATAAAGCTTAAAGTTGCAATCTTTCAACAATGCTCAAAGATCTTTTGATTCTCTATGTGCTTTTGATTGTGTACTTGTAGAAAATGCTGTAATGTAACAATGACAACAAGTTAATGACCTGCTAGTTTTGATGTTGGTTTTGGATTCTGAAGCCTGATAAATTAGTGTGAGAACTTTATCCGATTGGTAAAATCAATGGTCTTTTTGTGATATTAATATATAGAGTTTAGAGAGATTTCAAGATCGCTAAAAACTAGTTTTAAAACGTGTGAAACTATCTGTGAAAATCTGAGTTTAAAATTGAAAGAGGTTAATGATCTTGCTAATTTGATATAGGTTTGGGATTTTAAATCCCGGTTAGATGAGCCATGATCTGTGAGATGGAAGGATTGTTTCTTTGGTCTTCAAGATCACTTCACTGAAAAGTTGAATTTGTTTGTTGCAGGCAATGGCGCAAGTTGGAGGTATAGTAATGCTGCAGCCAGAAGTAGGAGGCTCTCGGGATAACTTCTTCTTTGCCGGTATTGATAAAGTGAGATTCCGCAAACCAGTGATTGCAGGAGACACACTGGTCATGAGGATGACTCTTCTCAAGTTCCAGAAACGGTTCGGGCTTGCTAAGATGGAAGGTAAAGCTTATGTGGGTGGCGTTTTGGTGTGCGAAGGCGAGTTCATGATGGTTTCTGCAGGTAGTTCTTGATCACACGCATTAGTGGTGGAGCCACTCGCTGTGTGTTTGTTGATCCTTCTGTTGTTCACAAGACTAGACAAGACCAAACTTAGGTTATCTGACATTTTATATGAGTTTCTTCAAGGTTCTTATGCCCTTTTGTGTCTCTCTTGCTCTCTGATTGATGAAGATTCATGCTATATAAATATAGAACAGCGTGATTATATGAAAACTTATATTCATAGATCATAAATTTGGTATACTACAAGGAGAAACAAGCATAGTCACTTTGAAAATTTTTTACACATTTGATCCAAAAGCTTAGCTAATCTTCTCGCAAATACGCTTACCCCAATCCTTATTACACAAATTAACCCTAAAGCTTCTTCATGTCATCTCTCTCACACACATTCATATAATGTACACAATATGATATAGATAAAGGTAACAATTGAGCATTTTAGGTCCCTCTTCTGATTCTGCTGCATATCCTAAGCTCTTAGGTCCCTATGCTGCTTCTTCATCATATCCTTCACTTGTACTCCATGATCATGTTATTCTCTGGCGCAAGCCCAACGCAAGCCCTAAGAATGTTCTCCAGCATTGCCCTCTGCTTCGATAGAGCGTTCACAACCGGCGTTCCCGGCGGTACAAGAGGTGCCTTCGTGAGGTAACTGAGTATGGTAGCTACTGGGTGGAAAGAATGAAACTTTCCCTGAAATATGCAAAGATCCGAACATGAAAAACTCGGTTTTAATACGACTAAGGGTTTCTCAGGTACTAAATAACGGAATACAAACCTCTCCTTCAGCTTTGAATTGGATTCTGGTGCTCAGTTCAGCGAGCAGAACAAGATCCAAGATGATTGGAGCAGCCAGGAGAGAATCCTCACAAGTGTTATGCATAACAATTGTGTTCTTCCCTCCCATGAATATCTCGGACGTGTACTCATCCATAGCTCTTTTACTATCGGCAACATACGGCACATACTGCAAAACATTCAGAACAATAGCAAAGATTTGAGACTTTGAGATACGCATAAGAAGAGAAAATTGATGACTCTGATTCAATATCGAACCTTGATGACAACCACATGATCAGGGTGTTCACCAGGCTCAAAGAGGATGCCATTACTAGCCACCATGTCGTCTACCACATTGCTCTTTGAGATCTCCTTAGAGCGGAAAGTCTGTGGAGCTGAGAGGTTCATGCCATCGTTGTTTCCCAAATGATTATAGCTCACAATCGAAGTAGGCTGCCAGAAAAAAAAACAAACAGATCAATCACAAGAATTTTAACAAGTTAAGTTTACTTGACGAACAAGGTATCTTTCTTTTACCTTGATACCAGCTCCAACAAGGAAATCAACCAAAACGGATTTCATTTTAGTCTGACCACTCTTGAAATCATCCCCACCGATCAAACAATTCCTCGAAATAGCCAATTCAATAAGTCCGGGAACAAACGTATTCTGAGGACTCCCATTAATGAAAGGGATGCCTTCAAGAACACAAGCGATAGCGTAAAGCGTAGAAGGCGAGATCTCAGACTCGTCCTTCTCGACAGAAGCCATTAGATTCTCCATGGTATCGTTAAGCCCTACAATCACATCGCTGTAACGCTCTGTATTGGCTGTCCAAAGAACAACTAGCTTATCCACTTTGTTCTTTTCCTTAAACTCCCTAAACAGATTCCATCACATCAAAACACAAAAACAATCAATTTCACAGACTAACTAACAATTCTGCATAGATATATGACAGCCTATTATATAAAAAATTATTACCTCATGTCCTTGATGATGTGATCAACTTGTTCTTTCTTGGTACCTTTGATCACGTTATTGGCACGTGACCCTTGATTCGCAGCGATGAAATCTGGATTGTAGATTCCAGGGAGTGGGATCATGTGCTCCATGTAAGGTCTAAGCTGTTTCTGCAGATCAATGTCAAGGACTCTGGCTCTAGCCATGGCGTCTGCTAAGTTCATGTCACTTATGTCCCAACCACCAAACACAACATCGTCTGGATTCACCATTGGAAGGAGACTCTTGAAAGGAGCGTAGATCTCTTCGCCATTGTAAGATCCGACACGAATCGACGAAGCTTGAGTGAGTGAACCAAAGTAATTCGCTTGTTGCACTTTGTCTTTCGTCGCCCACGAGATTCCTCTACACATATTCTCCAAATTTTTAAATCTCAACCAAAATCTAATCGGAACAGAGAAATTGAATCAAAGTTTTAACTCACTCTTTGTTAGCAATCACACCAGCGGTTAAAGTTGATCCATTGTTTCCTCCCCAACCAACAAGCATAACCCTAATCACCACAAAAAAATGTCAAAATCGAAAATGTGCGTCAAATTTCGGGATTTTAACACCGACCCAGATGAATTCGAGTAGGGAAATCAAAGAAAACAAGCTAAAAATTCAAACTTTTACCCTAATTTGGGGACACGAGTGTCGGTTTTGAAATCGTATTTGACAGTTTTGGGCTTCACAATCCATTGATAAGTACCGTTACGATTCTCATGGACTACCTCTGTCGTTTCGTAATCGTACACCGAATGGATCTCATTCTCTGTGTACTTCACGTTTGGGCTCTCTACCTTGAAGCTCTCGATGAACATTTTCTCACTCTCTCTTCTTTTCTCTCTTGGTTAAGCTCTGTGTTTGGTTTTGTGATCTCGAATCGACGAGCAAGAGCGACGATTTATAGAGAAGACGAAGAGGGGGATTGGACACGTGGCGACTTGTCAGTGTATCGCTGGTCCCTTCCCACAAGCGAATGGAGATGGTTGGTGCAGCTAGCGACCGAGCCCACACTACTCATAAGCCCAGAGAGCCTGTGAGCCACTAAACCACACGTGTTTGGCTCACACGTGTGAGGAAAAGCTAGAATGTGAGAGACACGTCGGAAGCTGGGTCCATACACGTGGCGTGAACTACGTGAATACAAGTCTTGTTTGTTGTTTGCTTTCTCATTCTTTGGGTCCCATACTTTTTTTCTTTTTTTCTCGTCTTCCTTTCTGTGAAGGCACTCGAAGTCTCGAAGGTCCCCGAGGGATGAGGAAGCGAGAAGAGAAGTGAGAAGCGGCTAAAACGACGGAGTTTTTGCCACCAAGAAACGCATGGGCGCCACGCGCGATCTGTTGTGTGGATCTAGTCTTGTTGGATGGACACGTGTCGAAGAAATAATGTCACGTCTAGTGATGGCGCGTGAGGGAGTTAACGTCTCCGTGAATGGTAAAGTAGCGACCGTTTTTAAACGTAGGGTCTAGGGGGTCCCACTGAAATTGGACTCGTGGAGATGGTTTCATTTGTTTGGGAAAAATCTAGAAGTTTACAAATGTAAATACAAAATTATAGTATCAGATTGAAGGTTTGATATGCTGAGAATAGAATTTGTTGTACATTATAAACGAAAGTGTTGAATCCTATACTATAGAATAGTGTATTGCAGAAGAATTTTCTGTTCATATTATTTTTGGAGCCGTTTATCATAAGTATACGTGTTGCCAATAGTTAGATATGTTCATTGTTAGACTCACATTTCCAATGACAATGTATACATAAACTTTACAGAGTTTATTTATCTTTTAACATTATTTTCAACTTTCATGGTGACTATTATATTGTATTACCAAGATCATTAGATCTCGAGAGTTAAACGTTAATGTCAGATAGTCGTGAATTATTGTGGACCTGACGAGTGAATATAAATGACAAAAATATTGCAGTAGACGAAGCAGTGACCACAAATCAAAAGCATGGTTTGTGGTTAAAGCAGAAAAGTGGGTTTATTACTTAATTTGAGTAAACATGCATGAGTGGTCCTATTATCATATAGAAAAGACGAAACAATTTTTGAAGGTCCTATTAAAAACATGAATGTTTTTTTAGGGTGGTTCATGCTTGCATTCAAATGGTAAGATATTGTAAAACTACAATTATTCGTAGAAAATCCACCGGTGGTCACTGCAATTCAAATAATGGTTTTAACAACAACAATAAAAAGCTCAAATAATGGCACCAACTAATAACTGTCACTTAAGTACTTCACTCGGTTAATAGGCTGCTCGGTTAGTTAGGAACTATTAGTAACTAATGATTCAATTACATTGTTTAGTACTCCGTATATAGAAATGGGAGAATGTAAATACTTTGGTTTAGTTATTGTCTATATTATTGTTTACAATCAAGATTTATGCAGTTAATTTTTGAAACACAGTTCCAACCTTATCCATTTCAAGCCACACATTTTTTCCTACTTTCATTTATATTTTGTTTTTTCTGTTTACTTTTTTTCTCACAGTTTTTTCTTTTCTGTTTACTTTATGAAAATGATCATCTCTAATTGAATATGTGAGAAGTTTCTAGGTCATTTAGTATGTTTGTCGTGATGTAACATCAATTATCACTGGACATACATTCATGTTTATCACTGTATAAATGTATATAATTCCCATAACGATTATTTTAAAATATTAATTAATTTATATATTCACATTTTTTTGCCATAACATAAATATATAGCATATACTAATTAAATTCCAAAATCTGAAGATACTTGCACAATCCATAAACCGATTCCTAATTTTGATTAAGAAAACGAAGTCTTGGACTACAAGTCTACAACATCTTATTAATATATACAATAAATGAATTTGATCATCTAAGCAAAGAATGCGAGTGTTTGATAAAGGTCTGGAGAGATTGGCTGTTTTGAGCTTTACATAACAAATTCTTCACATTCCGAGTCACAATCTGTTATAAATTACATAAACAGCCATTTTATTATTATATATGTAGAGAAAATTCAATATAATCGAATGTAAAGATTATGTAATTTGCATAGTTTACCTTTCCAAGACCACCTTTCTTGTAAGGCATTGCCCTTTGGCTTCGGTAACTATGTAGACCATTTGTAATTGGATTTGGAGTAGGAGATATTTTAGAATTATATTGACTTCTACTTCTTGTCATGATCGTTGAAGGGCTTTGCCATTTTCTTTCCAATTGATTTGGAAGAGTAGATTCCTGTATGTATTTCTAGTGTTAATATGATAATTTTTAATTTTAAAAATTATGCATGTTGTTTCAAGCGACGATGTACCAAGAAAAGCACTGTTGCGCAATGCTTGAGCACCTCTAAGTTCATCCTCACATCATCCAGGCTTCTGCAAAGTATTTATATGCGCATTTTTATTTTTATAAGTCTCTATAATTGTAGTTATACTAAATATTGTAACTTAGCTAGCGTTTGTGATAAAAAAAAATATATATATCATACGTATAATATGTATGTACGTGCGTACCTGTGTTTTTGCACTCCAAGACCAAAATACGAAGCCAAACTTGCCATCTATAACATAACACAAAGAAATTTGTTATATTACGCAACATTTTGTTTTGATAACCGAGAATCTTGTACCAAAATGAAGACTTATCCTCTCGAGAGATGTAAATAATAGAATATATATATAAAGGTGTTACGTTTTTTATATGAACATACCTTCATGTTACCAGCTCGTTTGCCAAACTTTGCGCTTAAAATCCCAAGAGAATCAATGATCGCAGTCGGCTCAGGCGCAGGCTTTCCAATCTCAGAGAAAGCCTCTTTGATTCTAACACAATCGAATCTCCTAATGTTATGTCCCGCCCATATCCGACCGTTCAACACACCATAGATCTTATCAGCCACGTCCTCGAAACATGGTGCGTCCATGACTGCACCTCTCGTGATCCCATCTGACCTAGAAGACCTCAATGAGACAACGGCCAAGTCCTTGGGACGTATAAGCGTGGTGAAGCTCTCCAGTTCCACGAGTTTCCTCGGACATACAAGTATTGATCCAAACTCTAGGATGTGAAAACGTTGTCCTGGTTGTCCTGGTTTGTTCGGTACTGTTGTTTCCAGATCGAAGAAGACAATTTCGCTCGTGTATCCTTGGATTTCCATTGTTTTGATGAGTTTTAACTTTTAAGAGTTGTTCCTTCTCTTTGTGTATATAATGAGAAATGGGGAAAGAGATGGGTTTTGTTTGTGGTACAAGTCATTGTCTAGGTTTGTGTTGGAGGTTAACTTGAGTCTAAAGTTAACTTACTGGAGAAAAATTGGTTTCAAGGGTAAAGCAAGAATCTTGTATTTTTGCCAACCCACAAAGGTTCTTATGAACAGTTCTTAGGTATAATGTATGTCAGATATTTGGGCTATCAAAGAGAATTGATTCCATTGATTCTCAGTCAAGCGTAAATAATATCATTATGCTATTTATAATACTTTTTCAGAATATTAAATACTGTACGAGATTCAACTTGATAAAGATTTTTACATAAGCCAGATCCAATTCTATAATCATTATTAAATAACACAAGCAATCTTTATTTCTTTCAAATGATTTACAGTGAAGACAGCGGTTTATTAGAAGAAAACAAAAATGTTCCTCAAGGAAAGAATAAAGCTCAGAGAAAGAGTTGTTATTGGATTGGAGACAAAGTCGATATATGTTTACAACATCATAATGATCAATAACACATTTGTGTGTCCGAACCATTACACAGAGACAGTGGCACGGAGTGGCTCAAGGGCTTTCCTGATCTTCTCAACTGCAACTTGTAGAACGTCAAGAGATGTAGCGTAAGATATCCGAATACAACTATCGTCCCCAAAAGCATCACCAGGAACCATTGCAACCTATAAAAATAAACACAGACCCAAAAACGCATGAACGCTTGTTTAAATGTGGAAATGCCTTTGAAATAGGTTTTGACGGAGTTTACCTGAAACTTGTCAAGAAAGTATAATGCAAGAGACGATGAGTCATTGATCAAACCAAAACCTTCAACTTCTAAACCATAGTATGCACTGAAGTCAATGAAGAGATAAAAAGCTCCCTGCAAGTAAACAATTTCAACAATCAAGAACAACAAGAAGAAACTAGCAAGTAATAGCTTCGAAGATAAGAGAAGTAAGCACCTGAGGTTCAGAGATCTTGACTCCTTCGATTTCACTGAGGCTTTTAACCAAGAAATCTCGTCTTTCTCTGTATGCTTTCACCATCTGAGCTACAGTTTCTCCTCCAGCTTTTCCTAAACCAAGTGCAGCAACACCTGCTTTCTGAGCAATGCTACTAGCTCCTGAAGTAACCTTTAAAAGAAACCAAAACCGATTTCATCTCACTATCACAGCTTTTCCTAAACCTATGTTTGTGTATATATATACCTGGCCTTGTAATTTACTGCAAGCTGCCACTATATGTTTAGGACCAGCAAGATATCCAAGCCTCCAACCCGTCATTGCGAAAGCCTTTACAAGTCATACGATGTCGATCAGCAAATAATTTAGTCCCTTAACATCACAAGTCAATAATAAAATATCTACCTTTGAGAAACCGTTTACTGTCAAGGTTCTTTCATACATGTCTGGCAAAGAAGCAAAGCTTGTGTGTGTTGCAGGCGCATAAATGATGTGTTCATAAATTTCATCTGATAGAACCTATAAAAGAAATGAAAGAAACAGAGTTTTCTTTTCAGCTAAAAAATAAAACATAAGTTACAAAGATTGAGTTGAGTTTTACGCTATATACCAGAAGCCTTGGATGCTTAGCAACGATCCGTGCAATCTCTTCAAGCAAACTCTTGGGATAAACAGATCCAGTAGGGTTGGATGGAGAGCAGAGGATAAGAAGTCTAGATTTTTCAGTCAATTTCGACTCGAGATCCTTTGGATCCAATAAGAAATTATCAGAGATCTTGGTGGGAATAATCACAGGTGTTGCATCCGCCAATCTCGCCTGTTCTGTGTAACTAACCCAATACGGTGCAGGAATTATTACCTAGCAAAGGAAAACATCTTTACTGTTAATTACAAACAAAATCATAACGAAAGGAAACATAAAGAAAGATTTGTTATAATTACTTCATCTCCAGGAGAACAAACTGCAAGAACTGCTTGTAAGATACTTTGTTTAGCTCCATTGCTAACCAAGATCTGATCCGGTGCATAAGACAGTCCATTTTCCTCTAAGAAAACAGAATACAAACATTTTGACTCCATTTCGATTGACATAAACGGATTACAAAGCAAAAGTGTTTTTTTTGTTCACCTTTTAACTTCCGGCATATTGCCTCTCTGAGTTCTGTGATACCTGCATTTAGTGTATACCTAGTGAAACCTTCTCGAATCGCATTGATCCCAGCCTATATGAAACATTTGATTCAGAACAAACCAGACAAAACAGAACATAAAGAAACCACTTGGAGAAATGTAAGAACCTCGGATACGGTTTTAGGTGTATCGAAATCGGGTTCTCCTGCAGCTAGTCTTATAACCGGAACGCCGGATTGAACAAGAGTGGCAGCAAGATCGGTTATAACCATAGTCTTGGAAGGTTTTAAGGATTTTACTCGCGGGCTAAGTGAAGTATCTACTGATGATGATGATGATGGTGATGATGGCAAGGTCTCTGCATCATTTGGTTTGGCCATGGCACAGATTCTAGATGAAATCTTCCCTGACTTACAGTACCTAAGCGTTTCATACCAAAGTTAAGTAGCAACTACATCGAGCGATTCCCAATCTAAGAAGCATTAATCGAATTCAAAGGTTCCAACTTTAGAGGAATGATTCAGATTTCTAAGAGAGAGAGTAATGAGTGATGGATAAGACCAGCCAAATCAAATATATCGAAACAGTTGATCAAAAGTCACGAAATTGAAAATTAGAATAGAGGCTAAACTCACGAGAGGGAGAGAGGCAGGGGTTGGAAACGAATCGACCCGATTGGCTTCCTTGAATCTGGGAATGATTCACTTCTAGAGGCGGCGGCGGCAATGGCGGAGGAAATGACGGCGGCGGAGCTCTGAGACGACATTGGAGAAGGTGGGTTGGTGAGTGGAGAGATATAAAGACTCGAGCTTTAGGGGGGATTTGTAAACGAAAGAAGAGGAGTTGGTGAGGGCAAAGTTGCAAAAAAAAAAAGGATTAAAAATTATTTTCAAATTAGCCACCAACCCTTTGTCAATCGCCGGCGGCTGATAATGTCGCCGGGAAATATAAACATTCTTTTTCGTCTTAACGGACGGTTAGTCTGGCTTCGGTTTTTCTGTCTTCTCTTAACGGACGGTTATTATTCGGTTAAGTAATTAAACCACTCGGGTGTATAAATAAATTTGAGTTTACCGGTTTTGGTTTTATACATTTCGGTTTTTCACCAAGCGCTCTTCACATCCCAAGTATGGAGGAGAGAAACGTGCCGATGATGAATCCGCATGATTCCACCGCCGATCTTTTTACGGACTCTTCCTCCGCTGCTAATTGCTCTCACCGGGTACGTTTTCCGGCGAGTAATTATCGTTCCTGTGATTCGTTTTATTTATTTATTAAGTTTTGAGGAGTGACGATTCCTTTCTGAAAAATCCATTCTCAGCCGTTTGATGGAATCAGCAAGGTACATGGTGGCTGTCAAATCACCAACAATGAGGAAGATGAATCGCTTAATAAGAAGTAATGATTTCATCTCTTTCATGCCAATTGATTTCAATACTATCATCTTGATTATACTCATTACTGGTGAAAGGTTTCTACTTTTCTACTGAATTTCTCTTCTGTTCATCTTACACTCGATTTTTAGGTGTCAGATGTTGTTTAATTAATTGATATCTACAGCCAAAAAGAATAAGAAATTAGGTTCAATCTGCTTCTGAATGATTCCAAGTTTCTCTTCATAAACAAGGTTTTTTTTTTTACAGGGCTGCTTGTGACATATTCTCTGACGATGATGAAGATGATTCAAATTACAAGACAGAGCTCCATTGTCATCAGGATCAGGTACTTGTCTCATCCAATAGAGAAACCTAGTTTATAGGGAATGGTCACACACAACTTATGCATATACAATAAAGAAGCTCAGTAAGATTCAGCTAGTTGGTAGTATCTACACTCTCTTTCTCCTTTACGTTTCTATCTTTCTTCTCAACAAGTTACTTTCAAACACCAAAGCAATTATATTGTATGTTTTGATGTGTAGCGGAGGATGAGTTTGACATCGATTGTAGCGGTGGATAATACTGTACCTTACAACCCTCCCGTTAGGAGAACCATCGATCTCGGCCATGGAAGCGACCTCATCTACATTCAGAGGTTTCTTCCATTTCAACAATCTTGGACTTTCTTCGATTATCTCGACAAGCATATTCCTTGGACCAGGCCCACCATTCGCGTCTTTGGTCGATCTTGCCTCCAGGTTTACCTTCCCCTCTCTCTCTCTCTCGGTCATTTTTTGGAGTTCATATGATCCATTGAAGCTTAACCGTATCTCCTTGTGGGTTCAGTTGTATATTGTGGAAACTAAGGAACAAAGATTGCCATGGCTAGATTCAGCTTTTGTCTGAGAGAAAAAAAGTCCTTTAAAAATTTGTGTTTTTGTGGCTCTCTAATCATATGCATTTGCCACCTGTAGCCGAGAGATACTTGTTATGTTGCGAGTAGCGGATTGACTTCGCTCGTGTACAGTGGATATCGACCTCATGCTTATTCGTGGGATGATTTTCCACCTCTCAAGGAGATTCTGGATGCTGTATATATTAAAACCCCTGTGCTCTGTGTGTCCCCTTGTGCGCTCTAGTGGTTGTTGAAACTAACGTTTCTCACTTTTGTCTTGCCAGATTTACAAGGCTCTTCCTGGAAGCAGATTCAACAGCTTGCTGTTAAATAGGTACAAAGGCGCAAATGACTATGTTGGTTGGCATGCAGATGATGAAAAGCTTTATGGTCCAACTCCTGAAATTGCTTCGGTCTCGTTTGGATGCGAACGTGATTTTGTGTTGAAGAAAAAGAAACTTGAAGAATCTTCTCATGGTATGTGGGACCTTCGATTAATGCCATTAACTGAGTAAGTTTTCTGCAAAGCCATGAACAAACGTTTATGTTTTGTGTGTGAACCTGCAGAGAAAACAGGAGATGGTGGACCGGCGAGTAAGAGGTTAAAGAAAAGCAGCAAAGAAAATCAACAAACTTTCACACTGAAGCATGGATCGTTGCTGGTGATGAGGGGATACACGCAAAGGGACTGGATTCATTCTGTGCCAAAACGTGCAAAGGCAGAGGGCACTCGTATCAACCTCACCTTCAGGCTTGTTTTGTAAACCGAGCAAAGCATCATAGACAAGGTGTGCTTGATCATCATCTCCAGTCACATTGACTAGGCTTCTCATCTTAGTTCTTTGACACTAGATATAAACACTGATTCATTTGAAGAAGCTAATACTAAACTTGACGAGAAGATCGATAAAGAAGAGTGGCAGAGTTTTGTGTTGCGCCAGCCCTCTCTGTTGAACAACGGGACGCTTAGACATCTAATGTAAGCCATGTCTCTGTCTTCTCTGTTTGTTATCTTCTTCGTGTCGGTGCTAACATATTTGTGTGTCTGTGTTTCTGTTTGTGCAGGGACATACAAAATGATCAAAGATGTGATATTTGGATTTTGATGCCAGGAATGACCAAAAAAAGCTTCAAGCTTTAGAAAAACTTTTATCTTCTCTATTAGTCCAAATCATAACTGTTTTACATACGGTTTTATTTTTAGATTCAGTTTTTATAAAAAGTCGAAAATTTAAAATCGAGATCAATCATTAGGTTGTCAATTCTTTACTTAAAGAGTAAAAATGTAAAGCATCCATCATCCACTAAAATTAGAAAAAGAAAGAGCTGTTGACAGAAAAAAACAAAATACTTAAATAGAAGTTTGAAATAAGCTTTCTCGCTTCAAAGCGCTATTTACAGCGACAATTTAGAATTTAGCAATCATTTTCGATCAAAGAGTGAGAAAAAAGAAAGTGCGAAAGCGAAAATCAAAAGAGAGTTATGGAGAGAAGAAACGTACCGTTGAACAATCCGCATCATTCCACCGCCGATCTTCTCTCTTGGTCTGAGATCCGTCTTCCCGACTCTTCCTCCGCCGCGAATCGCTCTAACCAGGTTCGTTTTCCGGCGAGAAATCCTCGTTTATGTGATCCCGTGCTTCGATTATGTGACGACGAGTGGAAACTTTCGTTTCTGATTATTTTCCGTTTCTCAGGCGTCCGATGATATCAGCGAGGTCCTTGGTGGCTGTCAAATCACCAACAAGGAAGCCGAATCTCTGAATAAGAAGTAACAATTTTCATCTCTTTCATTTCATGCGAACCGATTTCAATGTTTCATCGTGATTTACTGATTGAGAAGAAGCACTTATACCTGGTAATGCTGAATTTGTTCATTTTAGACTCGATTTATGCCTGATTTAGGGTTTTCGTCTGATTAGTTGATATCTACAACGAGAAAGGAAAGAAATTAGGTTTTAATCTGCTTCTGATTGTGATTTTCTTCACGAAAAATGGTTTCATCTTCCAAGTCTCTTTTCAGTGTTTCTTATAGGAAGAACTGTTCTGGGCACAAGCTTAAAGAAATGACTGGTAGTGACTTATTCTCTGATAATGGTAAAGATGAACCAATTCACAAGACAATAAACCACTACCATCATGAACAGGTACTTATCTCAATCCATTTCTACTCTTTGTTACGTTTCAGTGGATGATAAATGGTAAATGATGTTTCTATGAAAATGGTTACTGGTTTCTGCAGGATAGCCAGATATCTTTTAGCGGTGAAGAGAATGTGACCCCTAAGAAACCAGCCACTTTAACCGAGGCTGCGAAGCAAAAGGAGTTGAGCAGGTCCGTACAAACCGAAGCAGATTCGAAGAGCAAGAAGAAGCAGATATCGAACTCCAAGACCAAGTCAATCACTGGTCATGACATCTTTGCGTCTTCTCTTCCTCCTCCTGAAAGCCAACCTCGCCGCTTATCATCTGCGACAAAACATGAAGTTAAAGGAAGTAAGAACACGGAGGAATCTGCGCCAAGGAGCTTGTGTGCATCTACTAAAGCCTCTAATGTAAGAAGTAGTGTCTTTACAGTTGTGATGATACTTGGGATGGCTAGAAACTAACAATTGTATATGTTTTCAACAGGGGCAAAGCGGTGGTAACAGACTGGTTACTGAAGAACATGCTTTGAAGTCATCAAGGAAGATACACAACCCAAAGTCTCAGGAACTCACAAGCAATGGTATCTTCAAATCGGATAAAATCCCTCCTGGTTATTCGGAGAAGATGCATAGCTCAGCTAAATTGCGGGAAATGAGCGGACACAACATATTTGCTGATGGGAAGTCGGAATATCGAGATTACTATGGTGGTGCGAGGAGACCTCCCGGTGGTGAGAGCAGCATTTCATTGGTCTAAAATGAGTCTTTTTGACTCTGCGTAAATCTCAGGCACTTAAGATCTGTTCAAGTTTTTAGGTTTTTTAGGATCTAGTTTTTTAAGTTCGTGTGGTCTTTTGTCTGATCGTTGTCACTCCTAATATAAAACTTCAACATGTGTTCTCTTCTCTCTCTGTTTCTTTATCTTTTTTTTTTGGCTCCACAACTTTTTATTCATCCTCAAAACGTTTACAACCCATTCAAATCATCCTCTACAATAGAGTTTAATCAATTTGGCACCATAGAATACAACTTAGGGACAATTATTCTATTAGAGAAAGTCTCCTTAGCTATTCTATCCACCACTCTATTTCCATCCCGAGGGTAGAACACAATCCTATGGTTACCAAGCCCGGCCAATAGATGTTTAATATCATGTGAATCACAGGCCAGGCTGTCTCATCCTTTAAAGCATCAAGCAGAGACTTAGAATCAGTTTCAAATATCACGTTCTCAAAATTTTGCCTCACCAAACTAAGAAAGGCCCATCTTAACGCCTCTGCTTACGTTTCTAAAACCGAATGTAACCTTGGGACTGTCCTTGCTCCTAACCATAAAACTCTTCCATGGTGATCTCGTAGCACCCAACCCACACCACTCTTATTATTTTGTTGCGACCAGGCTCCATCTACGTTGCATTTTAATCAATTCTCTGGAGATGGGAGCCATTTACCTCTGTGGGATGCAGCCAAGATCACCACATTTTCCTCATCTGTCACCTCTTTTCTATTAGCCCATCCATCTGCATCATCCTCTTTCGCCTTGCTAACGGTCTCATGAATCTCATGATCTATACCATTGAAGATCAGATCATTACAGTTTTTCCATAGTCTCCACATAATCCAAGGGGCTAACCTTGTTGCTTCAGATGCCATACTATGATCTTTGGATACATTGAGAACCCTATAAAAATTGGTGAAGAAAGAATGTGCCACCTCACCATTCCGAGTAATTGGGATCCCAGTCAAAGCCCAAACCAACCAAGCATAAGTGCATTGGAAAAGGAGATGATTCACAGATTTTTCCTCCATATGACATTGATCACAGATTGGGTTCTTGCTCTCCCTTTCTTTATCTTCATTCTTCTTTTATTGAGAGAAAACTCGAGACCAAATAAAAATAAAAATAAATTAACGACTCCCCTAGGGATCGAATCCAGAGTCTCTCCTTCTCTTCTTCTTCTTTGAAGAGGTTCCAATTTCCTCAGCAATCTCCACCGTGTTATAAATCTCAGCTTGGGTGTCACCACCACGTCCTTTCTAATGAAATTCAAATCTGAGTGACTGAGTAGGATGTGTTACTAAATCTCATTAGGCCTAAGCCATGTAGTCAATTCTTGATTTCTTGACTAAGCCATTAGGCCTAAGCTATGGAGTCAATTTTGACTAATTTTAGTAATCTTAAATAAGTTATGCGAAAATTGAATATTTTTAAGAGAAAAAAGTAAATATTATTGTGTACAATATACACCAACTAAAATTAATGTCACTTTTGGTTAGAAATGTTATTTGTTCATCTGAAAATTTAATAGAAAATTCTAATTTACTTTAATATCATATTACAAATGATGATATCAATCAAGTCGAACCAATTTAATTCCACTTAATAGTTAGAAACACGACAAATATTTTTTATATGAATGATTCCACAATAGATATTTCTAACCATATTACAAGGACTCATGATAGACAATTTATCTTTACCATTACCATGTTCAAGTTTCGATAATGACCATATAAGCCCTCTACTCATTACATTTTGGAATTTTGATATAACACATAAGTGCACCGTTTGTGCAAATCAAACTTAACCCAATATGGAGGTGAAATACATCCTCGACCTTGGAGATATCATTGGAGATAAGAAATCCATCATGTTTTGTAAGTTTTTGATTTTTTTTTCCTCTCACTTATGATTTTCATTATTTTTTATATCTCGAATGCCAATTCCCAGGCCCGATTTACAATGGCCTTAGATTTACATAGACTTCGGAATGAAAAAAAATATATAGCATGACAGGTATCTCTCCACAATTATTCAACCTCATTTACGATCCAGCTGAGAAGTATTGAATCTTGTGAGTGGGATTAACTCTTTATCCATTTTATACAAAATATATGTCAAAACCTCTAGAGCGTCTTCTTGCATGCCCAATGTTACACAGATAAAATAAGGACAAATAGGAGAAAAATATCTAAAAAAATTGAAGACTTTGGTTAAAGAGTCACAAACGTTTGTGTGTCGTAGATGTTTGAAGAACCCCATCAAACGTTTCCACCATTTTACACTATCAAACACTTAATCGACAAGATGCTTCTGAAACGTGTTCCTAGTGGTTATGAAACGCTTGCCGTAAAGATGATGTAGGATCTGTACAATGTCGGTTTTCCCAAAACAAAATGTGCTTTCGAGATAGCTTGAAAGATCCAAGACAGACTTGTGCGACTTGGATAAGTAGGTTACTCTATGAAATTCACACCATTTTTTCTGATATTATATATCTTTAAATCCCACACCTTTTTTTAAAAAATATATTTTCACAAATGTAAATATTTAGTGTACATAAACTAAATTTTGTTTGTTTGATGCAGCATATTGACATTGCCATGTCTATGATGAGAAAAAAATTAGCAAAAGCCCCATGTCCTTTTCGTAGTGAAAGATTGGCATTTTTGGATGTGCCATTCACAAAGCTGATATCAAAGCTCTACCCAAAGTTCTCAGAAAACCAGAGAAACTTTGACTGGAGCAGTGAGTTCATTGATTACTATAAAGGTGTTTTACCAAGGTGTGAAAGTACAAATAAGAGACTTGGCGTTGATGTCAATGATGTGTACCTTGTGCTAAACATTAAAAGTGTTCATTGGATTGTTTTGGCTATCTCAATTCCTCACCAGCACATTGAAGTGTATGACAGTATTATTTCGCTATCTAGCGATGATGAGATAACAGAGTTGGTGAGGCCATATGCACGTATGCTTCCATATCTTCTCAAATCATTGGCTTCACCAGCTGACCAATACGGTTTAAGTACTGATGAGTACACAGTATCAAGATGTAGAAGAATTCCACAGAACACTCAAACGGGTGATTGTGGAGTATATGCTATGAAGTATATCGAGTGTCTTGCGTTAGACATAGATATGAATGTTGGACTGTCTGATGAAAACATCAGTGATATCCAGCAAAAGTTTGCAACGGATATGTTTGGAGAAGCCAACCATTTTTTTTTTTTTTTTTTTTTTGAATGAATGTTAGATTTTATTCAAACCCAAAAAAAGGCGTTTTTACATCAAAGATGCGGTCTGTTTGTTAAATACAAAAAAACAAGAGTAGTAAAAGAGCTTGAATGAGACCAAAGCTTTTACTTCCAAGAGCAGCCTTCAAACAGTTTGTCGAGCCGCAACACATTCTTGGGTACCCGTTTCGTATCTTGAGTCCCCAAGAAGCCTGATTGAACTGAATCGATTTCGAATTCCTTTGTCAATTTCTCTGATCATTCTAGTCCCTGAAATAGGTGGTGACCCATGTCGTCGAGCATTCCGCTCTCGCCAGATTGTATAAACAGTAGATTGGAACAAATACCGAGCAGTCTGCTGTCGATGATTTTGACGATGTATTTCGGTAAAAATAACATTGAATTCTGCTGTCGTACAGGCCGTCTTTACCAATCGAGCAATCTTTTTTCCTCCAGATTGACCAGTGACATTCTTTAGTAGATGATAAGTGCAAATTCCACAATGAGCCAATGGATACACGTTCTCAATTGCATTAGAAATAGAACGATGTCTGTCAGATATTATTACTAATCTAGGAACATCTGATACAACAGACCTCAACTTGGTGAAAAACCACTCCCAAGATGCATCATTCTCAGAATCTACTATTCCAAATGCAAGAGGATAAATTCTAGAGTCACCATCCTGAGCCGTTGCAACTAATAAAACACCCTTATATTTCCCTTTCAAAAAAGTCCCATCCATTACAACAACTTTTCTCATGAACTCATAACCCTTGGCAGAAGCAGCAAACGAAATAAACAGGTACTTAAACCGTTGAAGATCATCAACCTCCAGACATGCTATTGCGTCGGGATTAGCCTTCTTAATCTTGTGGATGTCTACAGGGAGTTGAGCATAGCTACTTTCAAGAGTACCCAATACCTCTTCCCGAGCATTGTCTCTAGCTTTCCATATCTTCCAATATGTTGAATCAAGACCATATCTTCTTCTCATAGTTGTAGAGATCTCCCCTGGTTTCATATTTATACCAGCATTTCCAAAAGTTTCCAAAACAAGCTTACTTATTACTTTCGATGGAGCTTTTGGTCTACCAAATCTTCTAGAAAGGCATGTATGCTTGTCGATGTACTTTGTTACCCAAAAATACTCACATGACGGATTACTCTTTGTAGCTCGAACCATCCAGTTGCAGCTTGCCTCAACACACTTGACAACTAACAATTTAGTGTCTGACTTTTTAACACTGATTCTGAATTTGCGTTCAATCGAAAGCATTCGTATACTCCAAGACAACTCTGCCTTATTCTTGAACCATTGGCCCTTTTTAATGATTTTTCCATCGTTAAAATTCAAAGCTTCTACTTCTGTCTCATCATTACTATTCTGCCTCTCATATGAATTTTCAATCATATTTGCACTACTTTTTCCATAAACCACATATAATTCGCGAGAGCAGACATCAACATTTTGGTACTCTGGATGAACATTTTTTTTTTAACTGAGATGCAAAGACAAACATGCATCGATCTGCACATTTCAAAAAATGTCTCTAGTTGCCTATCATTAGTTACGAAGATAGGTGGAGTATCCTTGGGCATGTCTTTCATCATTGACTCAGGCAAGGCATAGCTAAGTTCTACCTCATCAACCAACTTATTCAAACCAAAATCTTCATGAACCATCTGAACCATATTAGCAAACTTCAAACCATCATTAATCGTGAATAATTTACCTCATTTTTCAGTATTCACGATGAATTTCCATGATTCCTTTTTTCACTTGCCATTCACCAAAAACTCCAGTTATATGCACCATTTTCCTTCGTAATAAAAACAAAACAAACCATTTTGAAAATAAAAAGAGAAGAATCATAATACCACAACAATATCATAAGAACGAAAAATATATATATATATATATTTTTTATTTGAGAATCGTGATTTTGACGTAGTGAGTTTGGAAAATGAGTTTGATCTCTGTTTCAGAGAATCTGAAGTTTCGACTTGTTAGACAAATTCAATTAAAAAGAATTTTTTTATTAAAATATTATTTAGTAATTAAAATAAAATAAATAAAAACTAACTAGATATTTTTGTGCGGAAAATCTAAGTATATATATTTTCAAAATATATTACAATTTAAATAATAAATTACTTCAAATTTAAATCATGATTAATTTTGTTATTTTACTTCCCAATAAGTGTAGAAAAAAAATTAAAATTGGTGTATTTTTCAAAATTACAAACTCATGATAAAGTATTTTCTCAAATTTTCTTTATTAAACAGGGATATAAACCTCGTCGACAAAACTTGTCTGCTCTGAAATGTTTATTAATTAATACTATTTGATTGATAAACTGAGCTGTTCAAAAAAAAAAGATTGATAAACTGCAACTTCATTCATGTGGAATTAGCTCAAGTTGATTGCAGTCATATTTTCTGAATCCTTAAAATTTAAATTTAACAAAGTAAAAAAAAAACTTCGATACTAAGAATTATTGCATATCATTTTTATTATTTATATTTTACCATCCAATCCCAAAACATCAGGGATTCATAACTGATTAATTTATAACTTTCAATCTAATGTATAAATTAGAACAATATTTTATAAATTATTTTCAATTCTACACAACTTTCATTCTAATATACAAGATTACTCTATGAAACATATAAACATATTAATCTAAGACTTTAATATTCATCAACCGGTTTATCTTATTTTATTAAATACAGACCACCCATGGTATGTAATTACGAACAATACAAAGTCTTTTATTCCATTTACTGATTACAATGATAATATGAAAGAACATGAATCTCAGGGCTAGAACATTACACCATAATCCAGATTTACTCATTGTCATCAAATCTGCAAGCACATGAACATACCCAACAAGTTAAGCAATCATGATCGGTTTTTTAGGTGTTTGTAAGTGAAAACTTATTGAGGAACAATCAACGTTTATTGGCCATGAATTCAGATTTTGTACAGATGTTTGGAACCATTATTTTATAAACTAGGTGAGTATCCGCGCGTATGCGCGGATTTTGTTTTGAATAATTTTTATTTGAATAAGTTTACATTTATAGTTGCAATGATATTATTATATAGCTCATAATAAGAACATAATAATTTGCTGGATTCATTTTGCTATTATGTAGAAAATAAGTTTTTCCATATTTTTTATACTAATATAAATATACTTTTTTATGCATGTGTTATTTTTCCATTCTATTTGCTAAGCTATGTTCAATATGAAATTAGAGAAAGATTTTGATAGTCAAAAATATCGAGCAAAACATGTTATATTTAAGAAAATATCATCAAAACAGGAAAAAAGCATAAAGAGACTATGATTTGGGAGTTTGTTAATTAGACAATTGACAAACTCCTATAAAAAAACTCTAAATTGAATTCTAGTAACTTTGTTTGTTGCATCTTATTATAACTATGTAACTGAAAAGCCAGAAATAAACTTACAACGAAAAATAGTGATATATTACAATATCTTTTTCTTGAACTTATACTATTCTACACCGTTAGCAATCGTAATGAAACAGATAGAACCAAAAAAGTATATAGCATCTGCCTGATTTATTTGACAACAATGAAAACAACATTATCATGGTCACGAACTCAGGGTCGCCGAAATTATTCATTGCATACTGTCGGAAGCTTCTCTTGGAGCATTGAAAACATTAACATTCATAGTGTAGGATTAGCCATTAGATATATAAAATATGAATATACCGTGATGCATGTGATACACTAATCAAATATTGCGAATTTGATGTCATTTTGGATCTGTCAAAAAATCTTTCTTTGTGTACTGTCGGAGAATCTTCATATTGACAAGAAATATAAATAAAATCAGGAAATAGAGATAGAAATATCTCATGCTTATGTCAAGTCTATTCGTACATTTTAAATAGAAACTAGATTTTACCCCGTGCATCTGCACGTGAATTTATCAAATTTTGTAATGTTGTTTATGTTTTCTTTATAAATATAATTTTTAATAAGTGACAAAATTCATTTTTTATTTATATATTATTTGTTTTTATTTTTTTAGTATTATTATGACCATGATCATAAAAAAATAATTATAAACCGATTATTCTATTAATAAAAAATACAGTTATTATAAAAATATAATTCTAACTCGTTCATTCTATTAATCCGTAAAAATTGTAGTTACAAAAACATAATTCTAACTCATCCGTTCATATTACTATATCATATAAATATTTACTAATTTTGATATAACTTTTAGCTTAATATCTTGCATGTTTTGATAATTTAACCTGCATCAGACCATATTTATAAAAAAAAACTTACCATCAAATTACCATATAATATAAATATTTTTCAATTTTCAATATGTAAATTTTTAGATTGATTGATTATGATTAAAAAAATACAATAACATATTCTTTAATCATATTTAGAATGAAAATATTATTTAAATATCAAATGTTAAATTAAATCTAAACTATATTTAAAAAAAGTCTGAAGTAATTTAACTTAATATCTAACTTTTAGACTTAAATATTGCAATTTTTTAAAAAATATTTTAAATTTTAAATTAAATATAACATATATTAAGAAAATCTTTAATTATTTAAATTAATATCTAATTTTTAGAATTAGTATTATATAGAAAAGAAAATGTATTTTTAAAAATATTATCGCAACAAAATAGGATAATTTTAAAACAGTTTTCAAATAATTTATTTTAAAAAAAATTGGGAATGTTTGGATGCAAGCACTAAAAGTGCTTTTCTTTTAATACAATAGATCGATGGCATAAGAATATGATTGCAAAATTTGATTGCCTCGAAAGAGAAGATAAAGAAGGGAAGCTTAATATGATCCAGTCTCTACAAGACTCAGAAGATGCCAATATGACAATTAAAAACCATAAGAATAAACCAAATTATTTCACTTAAGTAACTAAATTCTTCGGCTGTCTTGCTCACTCACGTGTTTTGGAACCCAAACGCCCAATTTTTTTAAAGAACCTTTTTTGCATTAAATTATTTTTTTTTGGTTATTTTTTATTACAATAATAGTAAACCGGATCAATAAACCGAACCTTAAACCCAATTAGGTCTGGTTTGGGAAACTAAACCAGTAAAATAAGAAATCAAAATCTAGACTAAACTGAAAGTAAGACCAGATCTAAACCAGAGACTGAAAACCCTAATTGCTGCAATGAAACTGCTGCTGATAGCTTACCACCAGTTCGATCTGCCACCATCATGTCCAGACTAACCCACCCATTTTCAAGCTTGATTCCTCCGCGGCTCCGCCTATGGGTTTGGTTGTCCACTTCCCTTGAAGGTTTTGATTGATTTGGGGGTTCCACGAGCCATTGTTTTTGGCCAACTCTGCACTGCACGATGAAAGTTTCAGCGGCAAAAAAAATGGAGCAACCCAAATTTATTGCCAAATCAAAATCTCATAGAGACCAAAATTGACAAATTGAAGAGAAAATTAATGACCTTTTTAAAATTTTTGAAAGCCTTTCATGATTGGTAAACTAAACGAAGACGTGAATTTAACAACGGATCAATGTATAGGACTTAGAAAAAGATTGAAGATGAAGAGAGATGGAGGGTAAGATGAAACGGCGAGTAATTGATGGAGGCATGACACCTTTGTTTGTTGATGTAGCTAAGATCTGCTTACCCAGGAATCTAAGCGGCGAGTAGTTGTCATTCGACACAGCAGAGGAGGCGGCATTAAATTTGGCCGACGGGTTTTGGAGGCTCAATTCGACAATATCTATCCCGCAAAGGAGGCTATTCATGGAGCTGAGTTTTTTCCCTTCAATCCTCTGTTGACGCGAAGCTTGAAGCTATTTCCCAGAACTTGGCCTAAACACAAATGGAAAAGAAGAAGAATTTTTTTCTTATTGGAAATGTTCTTTTAACCGATGTGAAACTGAAATCCTCGCCTCAAATGATGGAAATATGAAAAAAATTGAGATTCTTGCCTCAATGATGCACAAACCATAAACCCTTTTAAAGTTTTTTTTTTGACTATTGGAGTTCTCCATTTTCGTTATGATTACAAAGCGAATAGACATACATTGAACTTGTAAATTTTGATTTTTACGAATAAAAATTGTAGGACATATGTCATCTTATGAAGTGCTGACATGTCAATAGGAGGAAGAGAGTTCAGCGTCTTTTATATAGTAGATTTTTGGAAGACCAATTTTTGTGCATTTATTGGTTTAGATGATTAAGAAAAGTGTAACGATTGATTTTTGGTTATTTATGTGGCTACCTTATTTTTTTTAATAAAGAACACATCTAATCATTTCATTGAAACTACAAGACTTGAGAAAGTATATATATGACTGAAATTTCAAACTTCATTACCAGATAAACCATCCATA